TAACAAAGCCGTGGGGTGGAGGAGGTAGAGTGTCAGGGCTGAAATCAGCCTTCTGTGCCTGGTTGTCAGAGAGTGATAGTACTAGTGAAAGAATAGGAACATTTGAATAGGGAGATGACATGTTGTGTCTGAGGTGATGGGATGTGAACATGGAGATATCCGGATCTCAGATGGTAGAAAGGTCATGCACTCACATGTTTGGGTTGAAGATGTAGATTTGGGAGTCCTTTAGACATGATATTTGAGGCGTTGAGAGTAGAGGTAGTCTCTGTGATGATAGGTTTGCTCAGAGGCATCCATTTACTGAATGACCTTGGACAAATCTCTTATCCTTGCTAAACTTTTTTTCTTAATGTGAAAAGGGATGGATAGTGGTGGGAGATGGTGGTTATCTTAATATCCTGACTACATCACTAGGATACTTTATCAAAATAATTGGCTCTTGTTACTTCACAAAGGTGTTTTTATCAAATGACAGGTCATAGCAATGTGCTTTGTAATCTGTAAACAGCTACACAAATATAAACTGTGAATATTTTGTCCCCAGTGGTAACCAAGGCTGGCTAGGATTAGAAATGCATTCTCTGGTTCTAAGACTATTCTATGCTCTTATTCTTGTGCTCTGAACAACTTAATTGACAGACAGTAAGACTACAGAAAGCTTCTAATATCCAGTAGTTGGTTTTCAGAAATAAAAAGTGGTCCTTCCCATTCAACTCAGCTTGATCCAGAGACCTGCTTTAAATGTCTTTCTTATAGGTTCCCAGAAGGCTTTAACTAAGCTCTTGTATATTGTCTCTGTAGCCCAAAGATTAAAGTTAAGCAGAAGACTGTGGAAAAGAATTAAACAAAATTCCAACTGAGAGGTCTTGTGTCCTCCTCCAAGACTGCACTCTAAAGAGAGAGCACTTTTGAGATTCAGCATCTTCTCTTAGCTTCTTAGGATTCTCAGTAAAATGTGGTTTTAGTTATTTTAATCAAAGTTTTGTGGCAAACCTAATTCAACCCCTGTATTTCTTAAATTCTATGAGAAAATATAAGACTATTGGATTGATGACGTATAAAGAGTTCTCAAGGTAGTGTGGTGGAAGTATCACAGCTGCTTATAAGGTCATGATAAGTACTGCTCTGGCTAGGAAAATCTTTTCTCACGCAGTCTGAAGGAAAAGATAAGTCTTCTTTCTCCTTACTTTCCTCTTTCCCCATCTTTCTTCCTAAAGGACTAGCAGCAGAATATGGAGAATAAATAATGAGTCTTTTACTAATAATTCCTGATGCAAACTATAACCATCTAGTTTGAAGTTATTTGCCTGCTTTTAAATTTTGGAGTCTAGAGAACTTCTCTTGAAGGGTGAAGTATAGTGATTCATCTGCAGTTGTGGTTACAGGCTTCATAATACATAAAAAGCAGGGAACTTGAGCCCCAGCCTCCCCACAATGTGTTCCTTGCATAGGCAGCCTCTACATCCTCAGTGGTTTAGATATTTTGAGATCTCTGATTTCTGCTATGCCATGAAACAGGTAGTAGCTTGATATAGTAAGCATCTGAAGGATTGTTTTGTTCTACTCTTGCAGAATAGAGCAGTTTTCAAAAGGAAAGGAATTGTTAAGTGGAAAATGAATTATAGTGGGGGGGGGGATGGAATGTGTGGCAGATGGCTCCTGGTTTGCTAAAGAGCTTGGGCAAACTGATAAGCTGTTTCTCTTGTGAAACAAGGGAGTCTCATGAGGTATGCACATTGTATAACCTTTTAAATTACCAAGTCAGTGGTATGTCTGTCCAGACATCCTTTCTGCTTGCCTCCCTGCCCTACTTCCTTTCCTTGCCTCCTTCCTTTCTTGTCCCTTCATTCCTTCCTGCCTTCCTGCCTCTTTTCCTTCCTCTCTTCCTTTACCTCCTGTCTTAGTCTGTTTTCTGTTGCTATAATTAAATAAATTATAAATTTTTGTAATTAAAAATTAAATAATTATTAAAAATAATAAATTATCCAAAGATTGGGTATTTATAAAAAAAAGATTTATTTGGCTCATGATTCTGAAGGCTGGAAAGTGAAATAGCATGGCACTGGCATCTGGTAATGGTCATCTCATGGCAGAAGGTGAGAGCATGTGAGACACAGAGAGAGGAAGTTGAGCTGAACTCAGTCTTTATATCAGAGCCTACTCCTGTGTCCAGTGATAATGGCATTAATCACCTCTTAAAGGCTTCACCTCGCAGTACTGTTAAAATGGCAATTAAATTCCTTCCTTCCTTTCCTTTCCTTTCCTTTCCTCTCCTCTCCCTCCCTCCCTTTCTCCCTTCCTTCCTTCCCTCCCTCCTTCCCTCCCTACCTCCCTCCTTCCTTCCCTCCCTTCCTCCCTCCCTCCCTCTCTCTTGCTCTGTCACCTGGGCTAGAGTACTGTGGCATCAGCCTACCTCACAGGAACCTCAAACTCCTGAGATCAAGCGATCCTCCTGCCTCAGCCTCCGGAGTAGCTGGGACTACAGGTGTGCACCATGACACCTGATTAATTTTTCTATTTTGGTAGAGATGGGGTCTGGCTCTTGCTCAGGCTGGTCTTGAACTCCTGACCTCAAGTGATCCTCCTACCTTGGCCTCCCAGAGTGCTAGGATTACAGGTGTGAGCCATCATGCTCCGCCAAAATGGCAATTACATTTCAAATATGAGTTTTGGGTTTTTTTTGAGACAGAGTCTCACTCTGTTGCCTGGGCTAGAGTGCTGTGGCATCAGCCTAGCTCACAGCAACCTCAAACTTCTGCCTCAACCTCCCGAGTAGCTGGGACTGCAGGCATACGCCACCATGCCCAGCTAATTTTTTCTATATATTTTTAGTTGGCCAATTAATTTCTTTCTATTTTTAGTAGATACAGGGTCTCACTCATGCTCGTGCTGGTTTCGAACTCCTGACCTTGAGTGGTCCACCCACCTTGGCCTCCCAGAGTGCTAGGACTACGGGCCTGAGCCACTGCGCCCGGCCTCAGACATGAGTTTTTGCGGGAACATTCAAACCATATTACCTCTCTTCCCTTCCTTCTTTCCTTTCCTTCCTTTTTCTTTCAACTGTATGGAGGATTAAGTCTGAGGAAAAATGATTTTATTAGGGGTCAGGACAGTTCTCACCTCTAAGAATTGTTAATCTGGTACAGTTTAAGACAACAGAAAGAGGACCAATACCTCTGACCACACAATGTATTGGCTTTCCTTATCTAAAAGACTTAACTTTTTTTCTATTGTAAAATATCATAAAATTTACCCTTTTAACCATTTTCAGGTATACAGTTTTATGATATTAAGTACATTGACAATATTATAACCATCACCACTATTTCCAGAACATTTCATCATCCCAGACGTAAACTCTGTAACCATTAAAGAATAATTCTCCCAGCGCCTGGTAACCTAGTATACTTTCTGTCTCTATGGATTTTGCCTATCCAGGCACCTCATGTGAGTGGAATCATACAATATTAGTCCTTTTGTATCTAGTTTATTTCACTTACCATAATGTTTTTAGGGTTTATTCTTGTTGTAGCATGCATCAGAACTTAATTCCTTTTTATGGCTGAATAATATTCCATTGTGTATATATACCATATTTTGTTTACCTGTTTATGTGTCAATGGACACTTGGGCAGTTTCCACCTTTTGGCTATTATAAATAATGCTGCTGTGAATATGGGTGTACAGATATCAGTTTGAGTTCTTGCTTTCAACTCTTTTAGGTATATACCTGGGAGTGGAATCGATAGATCATATGGTAATTCTGTTTAGCTTTTTGGGGAATTGCCAAACTGTTTCCCACATCAACTACACCATTTTACATTCCCACCAGCAATGCATGAGGGCTTGGATTTCTCTATATCCTCACTAACACTTCTTATATTCTGTTTTTTGGATAATAGCCATCCTAAATGGGTGTGTCAAAAATTTTTAGCATCTACTCTGATGAATGTCGGATGACTCAGAAGGGCCATTTACTGTTGTGAGGAATCATTCTCTCAAGTTTACTATAAGAGGGCAGTGGCCTAAGCCAATGCCACGTAAAAAGGGAGTTGCAGGGATTCTAGTCATCATATACAGTATCTCCTTATATTTTCATTGACAAGGAGGCTTGTATGTTTCTTGATGAGAACTTTGTGCACTCAGGGATCAGCTGAAATCCTCAGATTCAGAGGGGGAACAATTTAGGAGCTCTTGGATATGTGTAAGCTGTCTGGGATGCACCAGTCAACTCTTAGGTTTGGCTTTCAAAGTTACAATTAGTGGTTTGGATAGTCCTAGGGATGAGCTTTTATAAGAAGTCCTTTGATTGTACCTACTATCTTACTTTACCTTTTGCCTTGCCTAACATACACAGTAAGCCTCAACATACATTTAAATAGAGAACCAAAAAAACCTTCGGTAGGACCTGGTAGAAAGGGCTATGAAAGAATTTGAAGCTATGGCTATCTTCAGGTGGTATCATTGCTGCTCAAAAATCAGTCATTTGCCCCTCTTCATTGCTTTGGTGATCTAGTTCTGTTATAGGAGTATCTTCTTGTGCCTAGGAACTATTGTTGAGTATATTTTGAGTGAGCTCAGGTGCAAAAATCTATTGATAAATAATATTTCTGATGGACTACAGTCCTTTCTTTCTTGAAAAACCCACAAAACTGTATTGGGAACTGGTATACCAGTGCTGTGAATAAAAGGAAGTAACTAGGGGAATTTAGCCTTCCCTTTTTTTGTTTGTTTGTATTTGAGACAGAGTCTCCCTCTGTTGCCCCGGGTAGACTGCAGTGGCATCATCATAGCTCACTGCAATCTCAGACTCCTGGGCTCAAGCAATCCTCCTGCCTCAGCCTCCTGAGTAGCTGGGACTGCAAGCAGGCACCAGGACACCCAGCTAATTTTTTTATTTTTAGTAGAGACAGGGTCTCTTTCTTGCTCAGGCTGGTCTCGAACTCCTAACCTCAAGCTATCCTCCTGCCCCGGCCTTGCAGAATGCTAGGATTACAGGCATGAGCCACTGTGCCTGGCCTGTTCATTTGTTGTTTTTTTTTTTCCTGGAAGAAATACAAATCTACAAGTAGGATTGAGGGCAAGGTGAAAGATTTTATGATCAAATAAGTTTGGGAAATAGTATCTGCTATATTCACCTTTTGATTTACAATACACATTAGCACCTAAAAGTTTCCAAGAAGTCCTGTAGTAAAGGGAGTATACAGTTTTGTTTAATGTACTGTTTCACAAACTTTACAGCCCTTTTATTGAGTAATCTTTTAAAAATTCTTGGAACAAATATTTATCAGGTCATACTTTGGAAAATTAAACAATTGCTTTGATTTTTAATACCAAAACTTTGAGTAAAATATGAATATTCTCAAGTCTTAAGTTTGAAGGCACCCTGAAAAGCAACTTGTTAACACCTTCCCTCCTCAGTTTTATTCTGCCGTCTAAGCATTAATACACTCTTTGTATATGGACCCTGGTACAGGATACAGCTTTGGAACCATGTATTGTTATGGAAGATGCTGTGTAGTGGTAATTGCTGTAGAAGCCTTTATTTATTTTTCTTCTACTTTTGGGTGGGGAATTTTGTTCTTCATGGTTGTTTCACAATAAACAGTATTAAGCATTTCTTGGAAAGTGGGTGCAAAACATTGATAGTTTGTTGTGAACTTGTATCATTAGTTTTAGAGATGGGGAGAGTTTATCACTGAAAAGGAGTCCCACCACTTGGAGTAGAATTGGCCCTTCCCGCATGCTATTTGTTGCTACTTGAGAGACTGGGAGAAACAACTAAGGACCTTAGACACCCAGGTGAAAGAGCTCAACCCTTTACTTGGTGGATACCCTCTCTTTAGGCATCAGTGCCTTTAAAACATTCAGCCTCACTCCTAACAGCTGTCACAGATGTTAAATTTCTGAGCTGGACTAGCTGTGGGACAAAGAAAGTATTGGCAAAATACACCTACTGATGATAGGAAATTAGCAAAATATACCTATTGATGATAGGAAATTTCCAAATTTATTTTATTACTATGTCTTAATTTCATTCTATTCTTATATGCTTATTACATGGTTAAAAAAGAGAATAGTTGTTTTTTCAGATCTGGGAGCTAAGGCATAAATGTAAATAACTTGCTCTAATTCTTAAGGCTGTTTATCTTTAATTATGGGATCAAAACTGAAATCCAGGTCTCCTATCTCCTAAACAGTTGCTCTTTTTGCTAACTGCCTTACCTGAAGTTGTTTTGATATGCCTAAATAAAATTTTAAATAAATACTTGTATTCATATTAAAGCTTTATGGCTTAGAAAATTCAGTATTCAGGAGAGAGTAGTAGTGGGTTTTTTTCCCCCTAGAGATCAGAGAAATGAGGCTTAGAAAGATGGTCTTACTCAGTGTTGTATAGTTTGTGAGAGCTGTAACTAGAACTTAGTCCTTTTTCGTCCAGTGTTTCCCTGATAAACCAAGCTGTTGGTAGATAGTATCTTTAGTAGATGCCAGTAAGTACATATTGAATAGAATTCAATCTCTTCCTGAGTCTTCAACTGAATTGCTAGTAAGGGTGATTTTTCAGATTTTAGATGGTATCAAACTTTTCTCCTATATTCAGGTTTTAGACCAGGATTACATTGATCTACTTTGTTGAATATGTGACATGAATTAGATGCTTTTTGGGGGTCTAAAGGATAGTTATAGAAAAGGTGACTGACCTCTCTCATAGGAGTCAGAAGCAGAGTTAGGCCTATGACTATGTACCAGTAGTAGGAGGTATGAGGTCACATAAAGAGAAGCTGGGCGAGAACTGGCCTTTGGCAGGAGCAGGGATCAGTCCACTGAGACTGTAGCACTGGATTGAAAAGGGCTGGGCTGGGCCCTTGACATTGTTCCCTAGGCTAGACCAGTGGTCTAGGAATGACAGCCCACCAGACAGGAGAGCACAGCAAAGATCAAGGAAATTCAAATTGTAGTCAGTTTATTAATCTAATTAAGTAGAAAAATTATTGAGTCCCTTCTTGACTATTTGTTTAGCAAAAGGTTTTTGAAATTGAAATAATGTACCATTCTCACCTTTTAACCCAGAGAATGTGCTAACTACAGAGGGCAATTAAATTTAAATTGGCTTTTTATATCAGTTTAAGATCATACTGTATCTACACTGACATCAAGGATAGATAGGGCAGTTGTTTTCAAACTTTAGGGAGGAGATGAGGATGACCTGGAGGGCTTACTAAAACACATTGCTGGGCCCATTCCTAGAGTTTCTGTTTTAGTAGGTTGGGGCTAGGATCTGAGATTTAGCATTTCTAACAAGTTTTCAGATTGATGCTAATGTGAATGCCATTGGTCTTGAGATCACATTTTGAGACCCACTCATCTAGGACAAGAAGATGAAGCAGGTATAGCTGTATAGTTCCTTCTGATTAAGGTCTTCACAGAGAAGGGAAGGGGAACTGTCATTTAGTTCTCTACCATGTCAAAACCCTGTGCCAGATGATTTGCAACCATTGTTTAACTTAACCCTTGAAACCACTTTGCAAAGTATTCCTCATCCCCATTACCCTCTGAATATACAACTGTTAAAAACTTGCTGGAATAATTATTTCTTCAAGAACAGCTTTTACTTATAATTTAGAGAATAATGTTTGCATATACCATTATGAATGTGATTTTATTTAATGTAGAGGATATGTTAAGTTACATGTATTCATTACTCTTCTTGTTGATTTATGAGAAATATAAAATGTAAATTAGCAGTAATGATCATATAATAGATGGAATTAAATATTAAAATATGCTTTCTCATAAGAACAAAGTAAATCAGAGCTTGACTTTAAGATTCAGCATAATACATTCTTTCAGATCACAGGAGAGATGAGGCTATGTTAATTTTGTCAGGGTGGGTTTTTTTTTTTTAATGTTGCCAATTGGTAAATGACAGACCCTATTTTTAGAAACAAACAGGAGGAATGGTGAATTTCAGAATGGTAAGTATTAAGACATGACTAAATTCTTGAAAATGCAACATAAGACTTAATGATTTAAAGCACTGTATTCTTTATTAATGTTAGTTTTGAAAGGTCAACTTGTTTTTAATGGAGCTGAATGAAGTTACTTTGTGTTGTTTGACAGAATTGCACAAAATTATTTAAAAAAACAAAACAGTGGTCCAAGCAGTTGAAGTGAAGACATTCTGGGGAAACCTGCTGTTTATAGTGAAAATCATCTTTGACCTTGGAATTAAAAGTAAAGCTGGAAAGGAATTTACAAACGAGAAAAAAAAGTTTGGAATTGGACTCACAAGATCTGGGCTTGGAAATGCCTCAGGTAAATCATTCAGAGTAGGTGCAAAGTTTTATATTCTCCCACTGCAGAAAGTAATACCATTGGTTCTGTATGTTCTCAGAATCTTTTTTTCTTTTTCTTTTTCTTTTTTTTGTGTTTATTCTTTGGACTTACATCAAGCAGGATTCTGAGCAAGTTCTCAGAATCTTAACACAACTTGGCATACTACCTTTTTAAGATATCTTATTTCTGATCTCGGCTAGTTTTGAGTATATGTTTTTGCTTCCATTGCCTTCTATTTCTGCCTTTTATATAGCTTTGAAATTTAATGAGCTGAACATAGGGAACATGGTGGATAGGTAGAAGGTAGGCAGATCTGCTGGCTTCATGGGAGCTAAACCAAATCCCCTGAAGATTACTCTGCCATAGAAATCCCATTTCCATCTCCTTTGTCTTCCTATTTCCCAACTTTTACCTTTCATTTATGCCATTTAAATTTAGAAGTAGTTAAGAGGAAACAGTGAAGGACTTCAATCTCAATTCCTCTCCTCCTCCCCTTCCCCTTCCCCTTTTCCTTTCCTCTTCCCCTGGCATACACATACCCACATATGCACATATAAATACCTCCTGCAAAACATATCTAAGAATGATTATTATATCTGTTCATTTAATGGCAGCTACTCTGAATTGGTCAGTTTGGGTTTGAGGAAGTCACAGAAATAATAAATGAAGCCCTGTTAGTTCCCATTTTGCTTATCCAAATTCTTTCCCTTCCCCCTCCAGTGGTAAGCTCCCCCTGTGTGTTTCAGTGCTGGGGAGAAACCTAGAAATAATGAGCAGGCAGTTACGGTTTTATCTAGAGCCATACGGAGCTATCCCTTGAGCATAGGAAATCAACAATTTGCTGTTATTGTCTGGTGACTCAAGGGGGCAGGCAGCAGAGGGGAAGAAAGGGGATTTGCTAACTGATAATAAAAAGAACAGAGGCCTACCTCCCCCCTAAACACTGGACCAGATGGACTGCATATATATACCTTTTTAGAGTTCTTGCCCATTTGAGGCTTAGTTTTATACCATGTTTCCCCCAAAATAAGACAGGGTCTTATATTTATTTTTCCTCAAGAAGATACCCTAGGGCTTATTTTTAGGGGACGTGTTATTTTTTTTAAGTACAGTACAACAATCTACATTTATTCAAATGTAGTTAAGTCATCATCTTCTGGAACATCATCATAACTCTCCAAACCCCGAATTCCATCCTGAATTTCTTGGGACTTTATTTCCTTTAGAACCATTGGCCTGGACCTGACAGGGGGAGCCGACCTTGTTGGTAGGGCTGCCTGCACCTTTCTGGTCACATCTGGGATAGTAGCTGTCACAATGGGGCAGATGAGAAGGTCTGCTTGTCTTCTTTACCCCTCCACGGCGAAATGCATGGGTTGTGCAGATACACTGTGTTGCCACGCCCATCATTAGGTCTTATTTTCCGGGTAGGGCTTATATTGTGCAAATGCTTAGAAATCCTACTAGGGCTTATTTTATGGGTAGGTCTTATTTTTGGGGAAACACGGTATTTGTTGAATATTTGAATTTAGGGCTGTAAGACCTATTTTCTCAAGCTAACTTCTTCTAGGGAGAAAGGTCTTGCAGGCCTGGAGGGGTTAGGGAAAATAAAGGAAAAAATTGGAATGGGAAGTACCAGTGAAGAAAAATATGATGAGAAAGTATGTGAAAAGAAAAGTTTGTCATAGAAGGTGTATGACTAGAAAAGTATAAGCAAATAGACTAATACCATTTTTAAAAATTTCTGTAGAAACGTGCAGAAGAACTAAATGACAAAGAGAAAACTTTTATTCTTTCTCATTCTCTTCCTTCATCCAAGTTAGATTTCAAAGTGAGGCTTTTCTATTATTTGAGCCTCTTTAGGAGGGTGAGCTCTGACTTGACTCGGGAGTGATTTGTATAGATGTTAAAATGTAAAAAGAGGATGGAGAATAAACAAGGAGCATTATTAACACTTGGTCCTTTTTTCTGTTTATTTATTATAGAATGGCCTGTTCCCTTTTCAGGAATCAGGATTAAGGCTACAGAGCTCAGGGTCAAGTTCCTAGTCTTGATTCTATTTCCATTACATTCCTGCAGGCATTTACTGGACTAGAGACACCCAAATTGTCTTACAGCTTGCTTTGGGAAATAAGACATTGGACTCATTTAGGAGTACAGAGTGAGACTGATTTGCTACCTCTGTAGACCCCAGGAAATGGCAGGGAATTCCCTGCTGTCAGTAGTTAAAACAGAGACTGCTGTTAGAGAAGGATTTGAAGAAATGTTATATAGCTAAATAAAAATACTCATTAAATGCTGCATTCTGAATCTGGTGGCTAAGTAAGCTTTAGTTTTTAGAAGATATTATTAACAGTTGCTGCTCTATATTTTTTCTATTTTTAATGCATCTTAGGTGTTTTTCTAACTTAAGTCTACAATTTAATGCTAGTTAAAGCTCTTAAATGTACTATATGGTAGAAAAAAGAGAAATGTTTTCTGAAAATAATGATACTTAGTGGGGGTGGGGTGAGACTTGTGTAATAGATTGGCCTTGAAGAAGTGTTTAACTTTCTAAAATGAAATCACTCTACTGTAGCCTAGTGTAAGCGGAATGGATCCGCCTTTTGGGGATGCCTTTCGAAGCCACACCTTTTCGGAACAAACTCTGATGAGCACAGATCTCTTAGCGAACAGTTCAGATCCAGATTTCATGTATGAACTGGTAAGCAACATTTTTTTTTTTTTGGTTTTAGTGCTGAATGATTTAGGGTAAACGTGTGTTGTAGAGTTTTTAATTTATAAATGCTTGAAAGAAAAAAGATGTGATTGGGCCAAGTTTGATTCTTGTGACTATATGTCTAATAATTTTAGAAAGATGTGTGAACCCATTAACTTTTTTTTTTAAGATAGAGTCTCCCTCTGTCGCCTTGGGTAGAGTCCAGTGACATCATCATAGCTCACTGCAACCTCAAACTCCTGGGCTCAAGCGATCTTCCTGCCTCAGCCTCCTGAGTAACAGGGACTACAGGCATGCACCACCACACCCAGCTAATTTCTTTCTATTTTTAGTAGAGATGGGGGTCTTGCTCTTGTCTCAGGCTGGTCTTGAACTCCTAACCTCAAGCGATCTTCTACCTTGGCCTCCCAGAGTGCTAGGATTACAGATGTGAGCCACCATGCCCAGCCAAATTATTTTTTTAATTTTAATTTAATTTTTTTAGAGAAAGGTTCTCATTCTGTCACCCAGGCTGGTACTCCCTGTGCTCAAGTGATCCTCCTGTCCAAGCCTCCCAAGTAGCCAGGACTAGAGGCACATGTGACCACACCTGGATGGTTTTTTAAAAATTTGTTTTAGAGATACGGTCTCACTCTGTTACCCAGGCTGGTCTCAAACTCCTGTTCTCAAGCAATCCTTTGGCCTCGGCCTCCCAGAGTGTTGGGATTACAGCCATGAGCCACCATGCCTGGCCTGTTAAAAATAATGAGAGCAAAGGTTATCTAAATATCTTCAAGTCCAGTTTTGATGAGGAGAATGGGAAACTATCTGTTTTTTAAACTATGCCTAACTGCTGAAGGGCTTTGCAGCTGAAAAAATAAGGAATGATAGCATTGAGCAAGGCATATGACGTAGAGAATGTGACACAAAAATAGCAATTCTAAGCAATATCTGAATATACTTACCATTTATTCTTGAGGTAAATAGACACTTAAAATTCCTAAGAAAAACATTTTATTTATTTTTTGAGATAAGGTCTTACTCTGTTGCCTAGGCTAGAGTGCAGTGGCGTCATCATAGCTCACTGCATCTTCAACCTCCTGGGCTCAAGTGATCCTCCTGCGTCAACCTCCTGAGTAGCTGGGACTACAGGTGCGTGCCACCACACCTGACTAATTTTTGGTTTTTTTGTTTTGTTTTGTTTTGTTTTTGTAGAGACTACCGGCTCTTGCTGTGTTGCTCATGCTAGTCTCGAACTCCTGGGCTTAAGTGATCCTCCTGTCTCAGCCTCCCAGAGTGTTAGGATTACAGATGTTGAACCACTGCACCTGGCCCAGAAAAACTTTTAGAAAGAATTTTAATTATACACAGTATAAATAACACATAAATACACAAAAAAGTGGAGAATTGAGTGCACAAATTTATGAGCTTACTAAAAACCAGTGAATTGTACACTTAATACAGGTGAATTTCATGGTATGTAACTATATGTTTAACTATCTGTTAAAACATGTAGAGGACCTGGCAGAGTGGCTCATATCTGTAATCCCAGTACTTTGTGGGGCTGAGGTAGGAGTATCACTTGAGGCCAGTAGTTTGAGACCAGCTTGAGCAACATAGGGAAACCCCCATCTCTGCAAATGATTTTTTAAAATATTAGCTGGGTGTGGTGGTGTGTGCTTATAGTCCCAGCTACTCAGGGGGCTGAGATGAAAGGATTGCTTGAGCCCAGGAGTTTGAGGTTGTAATGAGCTATGATGATGCCACTGCACTCTAGCCCAGGCAACAGAGTAAGACGCTGTCTCGAAAGCAAAAGCACCAGAAAAACCACACACAGAGACACACATACAAGCCAAGACAAAACAAAAAAATCCAAATGAACAAATAAAACTGAAAACTTCCTCATTTCCTTCCTGAGCCTCCACCTCCAAGCCTTTTCCCAACAAGTTACTGCTGCTAACATTTTTTTCTATGCATATATAGATATATGTGTATGTTTTTCAATTGGATAATATATATACAATATTCTGTAACTTGCTCTTTTTAACATAAAAATATATTGTAGGGACATTAGAGCTAAACTTCATTCATTTCAATGGCTGCAGTGTCGTACTTAACTGATATTTCAAAATCACATCTGTAAACACATGAGGAGTGTTTTCTGTTCCACATGCCCAAGCATTGTTATAACATCTTACAAAGGATCTTATAATATGTGTTTGAGATCAACTTTCTTTGGATTGCTCATTGCTTCTGTATTTAAGTTCCCATTTTAAAAGACATATTCTTCTGTAGTGAAGGTAAGGTTGTCTTTATTTGCTTTTTAATTGAAGTTTATTTCTAAGGAGATCCTCAAATGCTTCTAAGATCAGAAAGTGTAAACTTTTTTTCAGGAAGAGTGTTTATGGTAAAGCTCAAGAGCACTTGGTATTTAGATCTACCAAAGCCTCTCAAGGGACATATTTCCCTCGTTTTTTTCCCTTGCCCAAAGAAATTAAGACATTATATGGAATGGTAAAGTGTCATGTCAGTAACCTTTATCTTAAAACAGACCAAAAGTTGAGTACTGATTTATCAATTTCATATATAGAAGTGAGGATGGAGGTAAATGTTTCCTTCCAAAAATATGGTATATGATTTCTTTTTTTAAACTTTTCTCAGGATAGAGAGATGAACTACCAACAGAATCCTAGAGACAACTTTCTTTCTTTAGAGGACTGCAAAGACATTGAAAATCTGGAGTCTTTCACAGATGTCCTGGATAACGAGGGTGCTTTAACCGCAAACTGGGAACAGTGGGATACATACTGTGAAGACTTAACAAAGTACACCAAACTAACCAGCTGTGACATCTGGGGAACAAAAGAAGTGGATTACTTGGGTCTTGATGACTTTTCTAGTCCTTACCAGGATGAAGAGGTTATAAGTAAAACTCCAACTCTAGCCCAGCTTAACAGTGAGGACTCACAGTCTGTTTCTGATTCCCTTTATTACCCTGATTCACTTTTCAGTGTCAAACAAAATCCCTTACCCTCTTCATTCCCCAGTAAAAAGATCACAAGCAGAGCAGCTGCCCCTGTATGTTCTTCTAAGACTCTACTGGCTGAGGTCCCTTTGTCAGACTGTGTCCAAAAAGCAAGTAAACCCACTTCAAGCACACAAATCATGGTGAAGACCAACCTGTATCATAATGAAAAGGTGAACTTTCATGTTGAATGTAAGGACTATGTGAAAAAGGCAAAGGTAAAGATCAACCCAGTGCAACAGAGCCGGCCCTTTTTGAGCCAGGTTCACGCAGATGCAGCAAAGGAGAACACTTGCTATTGTGGTATGGTAGCGAAGAGACAAGAGAGAAAAGGGCTGGAGACTCTTCAGGGTCATGCCACTCCTGCTTTGCCTTTTAAAGAAACCCAGGAACTATTACTCAGTCCCCTGCCCCAGGAGAGTCCTGGGTCAATTGCAGCAGGAGAGAGTAGCAGCCTTTCTGCAAGCACATTGGTCTCAGATTCATCCCAGAAAAAAGAAGAGCACAATTATTCTCTTTTTGTCTCTGACAACTTGAGTGAACAGCCAACCAAATGCAGTCCTGAAGAAGATGAGGAGGACGAGGAGGATGTTGATGATGAGGACCATGATGAAGGGTTTGGCAGTGAGCATGAACTGTCTGAAAATGAGGAGGAGGAAGAGGAAGAAGAGGATTATGAAGATGACAAGGATGATGATATTAGTGATACTTTCTCTGAACCAGGTATTACAATGCTTGGATGCTTACCAAGCTGACTTTCTATTACTGTTTTGAAGTAGAATGTTTTTGTTTGGATGATTTCTTTATTTTAGTTTGGGAATTAAATGACTTAATATTTTGGCTTGGGTATGTAATTGCTTTTTTCTTTTTCTATAATTCTTTTTTTCAGCTCTAAAATGATGATTTTTCTCATGTAGTAGTTCATGCTGATTCCTTAAGGGCTTATTCTTAATTTATCTTATGTTAAGTGACTTTGTCACTCTCTTTGATATTTGTGCAAAGATGCCAGGAATTTATTGGTTTAAAAAATACTCCTGTTTATGCTTGTGTCCCTCTATTGTACTTGAGATAAGTTAGGAGTATCTAGAATGGTGAACCAAATGATAATGGTTTATATTACTCATGCCTATAAGCAACAAAGCCTTCTTAAATAATGTAAAAGAGAGCTTTGGCTTTTTTTTTTTTTTTTTTTGGAGACTATCGCTCTATACTCCAGGTAGAGTGCAGTGGCGTCATCGTAGTTCACTGCAACCTCAAACTCCTGGGCTCAAGCCATCCTCCTGCCTCAGCCTCCCGAGTAGCCAGGACTACAGGTGCGTGCCACGATGCCAAGCTAATTTTTCTGTTTTTAGTAGAGACAGGGTCTCACTCTTGCTCAGGCTGGTCTCGCACTCCTGAGTGCAAGCAAGCTTCCTGCCTCAGATTCTCAGAGTGCTAGGATTACAGGCATGAGCCACCACACCTTGCCCAAAGAGAGCTTTTTTCGTGTGTCTACTGCATTTTTATATACAGAGTATTTTCCTATTTAAGGAAAATACATACTATAATTTGATGAGCATGAGGGAGACTCTGCTTTATTTATATACAGTGCATATGTATAGAAAGGACAAAGAAAATGAAATCTGTGGGGAACTGGCATTTTCACTTAAGCATTTACATGCTTGGGTTTTTGTCACTGTTGGCCTGTGCGGTTTATTTATGAAAAATGGTATGTATTGCCAAGTGGCACACAGTTAAAAATGCACAAATAAATGAAGATCTTCAGACTTAAAAGTTTTCTTCAAAAATAATGTTGATACTAATAATTCTGCATAGTAACTAAGTTATTAAGAAAAAATCTTTATAAATTATCAAAGAGCCATTTTGCAATAGTGATGATTGTTAGAATTTCAGGCAGCATAAACATTGATATTTAATATTCTGGAAGGTGTTTAAGGCACAGTAGCTATATTGTAGCCAGGGAAGCACTATTATTGTTGAAAGACTTTCTCCATTTGGTAAAATCTTTCTGTTACACAAGTGCTTAAATTTATGCATTTGACATAAGTTAGTTGTTTGATTTGGGTAGAGTTTCAGGTCAGCAAAAGGCACTTTAATATGGAGGAAAAGAGTTTGTGCCTTTTTCTTTGGTTTGCTGTAGAACTCTATGTAGTCTAGATAGAATAATTGTCTTTTTCACTAAACAGGAAAATTTGGGGCAGATTAATAAAATCTGCTTTAAGATGTTTGAAGGAGACTTGTCTTTGTAGGTGGGTGAAATTTATTACCTCCCCTTGGAAGATCACAGTGCTGTCCCTGAGTGGTCCTTCAAGTCTGATATCAGGGCTATTGCTTTAGTCTCCTATTTAGGATTAGGGTAAGAGGGTAGGGGAAGATTGAGACAGAAAGGGGGTGGGTAATAACGTAAAGAAATGGAAAATGTGGGGAAGGAAATGTCTTTGCCAGCTGGTACTTAAAGGAATATATAGATCAGAGGGAGTCAGTAATGCCTACTCCAATCACAAGGCAGTAAGGACTATATTATCTATCCCACTTTTTGTTGTAGTTTTGCTTTTCTTTGACTTTTCCCCCCAACTTTATTGAGGTATAGTTGGCAAGCAAAAATTGTACATGTTAAGATATACAGCATGAAACATGGTATTTTGATATATGTATACATTGTGAAATGATTACCATAATCAATATAATTAACATATCTATCACCTCATATAGTTACCTTTTTTTTTTTTGGTGGTAAGAACATTTAACACATTAACTGCCATGTGAATTGTATTTAACTCATGCTAGTTTTGAGCCTGGGGCATATGTAACTCACACATCTCTTTACCTTGGGAGCCTTGTGAACTGTTTTTCAAGTTGCATATAATACACACAGGAAACAATAAAAAATAACAAATTTTTTCAATAAATTAGAAAGGATTATTTTGTTTTTAAAGTTTTTATTCTATTTTCGTAATAAAACACTGTGGCCTCAAAAATTTTTTTCTTCTAGTGTGGCAGTCAGTGTGTTAACAATTTAACTGTTTATAAGAACTCTATCCTTTACATTTTATGTTATTGATGTCACAATTTACATCTTTTAATATCAATTAACAAATTATTGTAAACATAATTATTTTTAGTACCTTTGTCTTTTAACTTTTTTTTTTTTTTTTTTGGAGACAGAGTCTCACTTTGTTGCCCAGGCTAGAGTGAGTGCTGTGACATCAGCCTAGCTCACAGCAACCTCAAACTCCTGGGCTCAAGTGATCTTCCCTGCTCGGCCTCCACCAGAGTAGCTGGGACTACAGGCATGCGCCACTATGCCCAGCTAATTTTTTCTATATATTTTTAGTTGGCCAATTAATTTCTTTCTATTTTAGTAGAGATGGGGTCTCACTCTTGCTCAGGCTGGTTTTGAACTCCTGCCTTGGCAACTCCGCCCGCCTCGCCTCCCAGAGAGCTAGGATTACAGGCATGAGCCACTACACCTGGCCTGTCTTTTAACTTTTATACTAGAGTTAAAAGTGTTTTACGTACCACCATTACAGTATTAGAGCATTCTGATTATGTCCTTAATTTTATACAGTGAATTTTATACTTTAATAGATTTACTTATTGTTAGTTATCCCTTCAGCTTGAAGAACTCCATTATCATTTCTTATAATGCATGCCTACTGGTGATGAACTCCCTCAGCCTTTTGTTTTTTTTTTCGGGGGAGTGGTTATCTGGCCTTCATTTCTGAAGGTCAGATTTTCTCGGGATAGTATTCTTGGTTGGCAGGGTTTTTATTTTCCCTTCAGCACTTTGACTATATTATTCCATTCTATTCTAGCCTCCAAGATTTCTGTTGAGAAAACCACTATAGTCTAATGAGGGTTTCCTTGTTTGTAACAAGTTGCTTTTCTTTTGTTGCTTTTTAAATTCTCTTGTGTTTTTTTACTTTTGAGAATTTGATTATAATATGTCTTGGTGAAGATCTTTTTATGTTTAATCTATTTAAGGTTCTTTGAACTTCATGGATCTGGATGTTCATTTCCCTCTCTAAATTTAGGAAATTTTCTGTCATTTTTTTTAGACCTAGTACCTAGGTCTGCAGGGACCTGCCTGGTGCTACAATAGGCCTCCTGGGTCTGTGGGGGCCATCCTGGGGATGTGATGGCTAGCTTTGGGATGATGGGGGCCATCTTGGGGTCTTATGCTTTTCTTTGACTTTTAACTCTATTTGAAATTTATCCTTGATCCTTTGGCTGGGTTCCATCTGGATGTAATATAAGGAGGTTCATAAAGAGAGGTCACATGGTTAATTGATCCTTATTTTTATTTCTCAGCCCTTTGACTCTCACAGAGAGGGGGAACTAGTGTTACAGTTGGTGTTGTCCTGTCATTCCACATTATCTTCCCTTGTCCCTTTTAGAAGATCCCTTTTTGTTACCTTCTTGGTCTTACATAACCAGGCAACGGCTTTAGTTCCTCCTCTCCTCTCTCTCCTCTCCTCTCCTCTCCTCTCGCTGCTCCTCTCCTCTCCTCTCCTTCTTCTCTCCTCTCTCTCCTCTCTCTCTCTCCTCTCCTCTCCTCTCCTCTGCCTCTCCTCTCTCTCTCTCCTCTCCTTCTTCTTCCTCTCCTGCTCTTCTTTCTCCCGTCCCCTCCCTCCCCTCCCCTCCTCCCCCTCCCTCCCTCTCCCTCCCTCCCCTCCCCTCTCCGCCCTCCTCCTCCCTCCTCTCTCCCTCCCCTCCTGCCCTCCCTTTCTTTTTTTTTTTTCTTTCTCTTTTCTTTCCCCTTATTTTTTTAGAACTACTAGCTGTTTAAGAGGCAATGGCTTTGTGCATTAGCTGGCACTTGGTAGGGTCAAATTCTCTTCTTGGACCTATTTGACAATGACATTAGATTTCTGGATGGCATTTAAGCCATTCACTTCCAGTTGACTTGAAGTGAAACCCTTTTGGTTAGTATTAGTTGGACAGTTCTCACAAATGTTAGTGAGCAACAGTCTTTAACTACAAAATTAAGACACTTTTGTAGTATCATTTTGGGCTTTATTCACATTTGCTAATAAAGATTTCTCCTTTTCTTGGAAGAAAAAGTTACACAAGTGACTTCAGGAATGCAAAAGTGAGTTTTTGGTGAAAAACAGAATTTCTTTGAATTTAAAGAGTAAAGATAGCTATAGTTCCTTCAGAGTGCTAGTTTTAGGGTGGGTTGACTGGTTTGATTTATAGCAGACAGTTTACAATGGCCCTTTTGTGATGACTAGCTCCCTTGATGCTATTTCTTGGCAAATGGCTACAACAGTTCATGAGCCTACAGAGTTTCAGGAAAGGTGCAAAATGAAGTTTTAGTCCCTATTCTGGACTGGCTCCCAAGTTTTAATAGAGCCTATTCTGTGAACAGGCTAGAACTGTTTGGGGTCGTGAAATTACATGGTTCTAAGACTAAGAATTGGGTTCCCAGAATAAGAGTTTATTTTGTAATGTCCACTAAATGTTTTCACAGTTAACTTTACTGAAGGCAGCAGTGTGCACTAACCAGAGATGTGTGATTGGAATTTTAGGCAGTAAATGTGGTCTTTTTTACTTCCTTTGATAATCTTATCAGGAAGGAATGAGTTAGATCAATATGGTAAGATGAAAAGGGAAAGGGCTCCATGGGAATGGTTGTATTAAAACAAAATCATTGATTTGTTAAAAAAAAGTTTTTTGAGTGCTTACTTTTGCATCAAGCACTGTGTGTATTAGGTATTATTGGCTGTACAGATATGAACAAAGCATACATACATGATCTTTGTCTTCATGGAACTTAGAGTTAAGTGGGTTTATTTACTGTTATGATTTCTTAGTCTTTTAATATGCCTGTGTGTACTGTGATTTGGCAAGAGAGGTATTCAGGATAAGAATTTCTTAAAACTTATTTGACCACAGAATTTACTTGGGGTTGAAGCCATATCTTATGATAATAGTGTCCTTCAGAGCATACTTTGAGAAATATTTAATGACCCTAAATGTTAGACCAGTGATTTAGCAGTGTGATTTTTCTGCATTCTACTTGATCATGATAAACTCTTTATTGAAAGGTAGATGGCTTTAGCCAACAAATTCTGTGTGTGTGTGTATGTGCCCGTGCGTGCGTGTGTATGTGTGTGTGTGAGGGAGTGATCGTGAATTTATGGTGTATGCTATTAGAAAATGTTAATATGTTAGGTCAAAGAAAACTGATGGCCCTTAAATACTTTTTGGAAAAAGGCTGTGAATGTTGGTAAGTCAAATTAGTAACTAATTGGGGTAGGACAGAGGAAATAAATAATCTTGAGGACTCTTTAAACTCTACATGAAATATATGTGAAAAAAATGCATTTAGACCATTTAACTAGTTAGGCACAAGCAAAGTGGGAAGCCCACTTGGAGCTAGACCCTTTGAGTCCTGGGGCCTGTCTCAGTCTCAGCTGTGCCAAATCATGTCAAGCCTCCATTTGCGTTTTACTTTGTATAGATAGGGTTAATAATCTATTCCTCACCAGATTCTTAAAAGTCTCACATGAAATATGTGAGTGTATCATGTGAGGGGGACAATGTTTTGCCAGAAATCCAGGCCATCTGGGGATAGGCAAAGGTAGTTGCTAGCTAAGGGAGCATATTAAATAAAGTATTGGGGGGAAGTTGCCTGAAGAAGCTGTATATACAAAGTTTTCCCTCATGTTTTGGGTTGGAGGGAGGCTTAAAGTGTGTAACACCAGGTATTGACATTGATAGGAATTTAGAGTGTTTTGGTTGGTGCATCTGCCTGTTTTCAGGTGTTCTCAGTCAAACTAGGGTAATCTCTGTGAGCCAGTAATTTTGTTACCCTAGTGGAACAAGGGCCTTTTTAAAAGAACCATTTCTAGTGACACAGTGTGGCTCTTGCATCTTTTCCAAACCTCCGTTGATAACTAGAACAAGATGAAATCCTTTAATTTGAAATGAAATGTGAGCACAAACAAATAGGCCAAGGCTATTGCTTTATTTCTCTTATTTACAGTTTTAAAAAAATTAAACTTCTAGACATGAGTGTGTCACTCAACTTGTGCATCGTTTTTTAAGAACCACCTAAGGTTCATTGTCACATTGCTTGCCTTATTGTTTTAAAGTACCACATGTGCACTAATATAAAGATGTTAATACCAGCAGTGCTACAAAGGCTTGTCGTTTTTTAAGGTCTCATTCTGTCACTCAGGCTAGGGTGCAGTGGTGTTATAGTTCCTTGTAACCTCCAATTCCTGGGCTCAACAGATCCTCCTGCCTCAGCCTCCTGAGTAGCTGGGATTACAGGTGTACACCACCATGCCCAGCTAGTTGTTCTGTTTTTTTGTAGAGACAGGATCTCACTCTTGCTCAGGTTGGTCTCAAACTCCTGATCTCAAGCAATGTTCCTACCTAGGGTTCATAAAGGGCTAGGATTACAGGTGTGAGCCACTGCACCTGGCCTCAAAGACTTGTCTTGACTGTTGCTCAGAAATCATTCTGCTTTCCAAATTGATTCTTTCTTTTAAAAGTCATGTTTATTGAGATACAATTTTCATACAGCAAAATTCACCCCTCTTGCAGTGTAAACTTCTGTGAGTTTTGACAAAATCATGTAGTCATATAACTACCACCACAATCAAGATACAGAATAGTTTGATCGCTTCCCCAAATTCCCTTGTGTTCCTTTATAGTCATCCCTTTCCTCTACCCCTAATCCCTAGGCAACCACTGTGTCTAGGTGGTTGGAAAAGGTTTCACCTTTTCCAGAATGTCATATAAATGGAAGTATACTCCTGGTTGATTCTTACTCTGAAGAAAACTTGCTAAAATTCTAAATTCAAACTTTTCCCCCAAACGAACGGCTGTCATCACTTTCTTAGTGACAGTTCATAAGAGCCATGTATTTAGGAGAGATAATAACCATTTTGTGGTTTTTATCCATTTTTTCCTGGTTACTTCAGGTTTGGGATTATGTATAGTCTGTGCATGGCCCATGTACCTAGCATTAGTTATGTGGAATACATCTAAGAAGGCCATTCTTTTTTTTTGAGACAGAGTCTCACCGTGTTGCCCAGGCTAGAGTGCTGTGGTGTCAGCCTAGCTCACAGCAACCTCAAACTCCTAGGCTCAAGGGATCCTCCTGCCTCAGCCTCCCAAGTAGCTGGGACTACAGGCATGTGCCACCATGCCCGGCTAATTTTTTCTATGTATTTTTAGTTGGCCAGTTAATTTATTTCTATTTATAGTAGAGACGGGTTCTCGCTCTTTCTCAGGCTGGTTTCGAACTCCTGACCTCGAGCAATCCGCCCATCTCGGCTTCCCAGAGTGCTAGGATTACAGGAAAGCCATTCTTTTAAGATATTTTAGATTTATATGTCATACTGCATTGAGTCTGATCAAGAGCTCTAGCAGCTCAGAATTAAATATTTTCTGAAACATTCCATTGGTAGGGAAAGTACTCCCTTCTTAAAAAGTGAAGTTAATACAAATAGCTTCTAGTAAAATATTAGCTAGAATAGGTATATAAGTTTTTATTTGCTAGCCTGTATGAAAACTGTCATCTTTTGTACTTTTCCAAAAGGGGTAGGGTGGGAGGTTATGACGAAAACCACTATTGCCTCAAAAAATTCTACCATAGTAGGACAACATCATAGAAGTACACACAATTTTCTGTCTGGGATGTTTTAGATACATAACTATTAGAAGGAAAACTTTTAAAAGTCACAATATATGAAGACACCAAAAAAAGTATCATATGCTAACTTACAAAAACCAAAGAGAAACCCAAGCAATATAAACTATGTTTATAATCTCTGAATAGTTTATGTGTTAAGGATTTACGTATAAAAGTTGTTTTATAAGCCTGGTTTATTATCCTTGACATGCCAATGGTGTTTCCAGATGAAAAGAATGTACCTTTCATCCAAAAAAGTTACAAATAGAAGGGATCTTTTTGTTTGTCCTGATTGGTTTATTGAAATTATTGATCTTAAAAAATTGGGGGCTTTTTTTCCAAGGCTATGAAAATGATTCTGTAGAAGACTTGAAGGAGATGACTTCAATATCTTCTCGGAAGAGAGGTAAAAGGAGGTACTTCTGGGAGTATAGTGAACAACTTACACCATCACAGCAAGAGAGAATGCTGAGGCCCTCTGAGTGGAACCGAGATACCTTGCCAAGTAACATGTATCAGAAAAATGGCTTACATCATGGTAAGAGGGGATTGCAGTCATATATTTAGGGTCACTTTAAATAGAGATACTAAACCATAATGCTTAGTGTACCTAGGTATGCAACCCTTCCTGGCAAATTGGAGAGGGGAAATATAGAGCTTCTGTATTTGTATGACTGCTTTTTGCTTACAAATAGCTTTTTACCAGTATTGAGACTCATCACCCAAGCAGGGAGGAAGGACTTTATAAACACTATTTCATTTCTAGTCCCTTTTTTTTTTTTTTTGAGACAGGGTCTTGCTCTGTCCTACCAGGCTAGAGGCTAGAGTGCAGTGGTGTCACCATAGGTTACTGCAGCCTCCAACTCTTGGGCTCAAGTGATCCTAAGCCTCCCGAGTAGCTGGGATTACAGGCGCATGCCACCATGCCCGGCTAGTTTTTCTATTTTTTTGTACAAACAGGGTCTCGCTCTTGCTCAGGCTGATCTCGAACTCCTGACCTCAAGCGATCCTCCCACCTTGGCCTCCCAGAGTACCAGGACTACAGGTGTGAGCTATTGCACCTGGGCTCTAATCCCTTCTTATTCTACTTACCCATCCAGGAAGCTTCTGGTTCCTGACTTCTCACAGTTCCTATAACCACAAGGGTTGGAGAGAAAGTGAATGGACTTCAGCGTTTCTTTTTTCCATTCTCATCCAGACCTAAATGCAAATGGGGAGATGGGAATCAGAGTGATAGGAGAAAAGGAGAGAGAAAGTAAAGAAAGAAGCTGTAGTTATGGAGAAGAGGAGTAGTAGTAGAGAAGAGTTGAATATCTGTAGTAGGAATCAGGAGAAGTTTATAATCTTAGGTAGGTTAAATTTTGAATTATGAACTCAGGAAGCTGTGGTTAAGCAGAATTTCTCCTGCACAGATGTTATTTTTACATTAATCCAAAGTCTTTCCGAAAAAGGGGGAGTAACCTTGTACTAGTACAGGTAAGCTTACTACTAGTAAGCTTGATGGTTAATAAATAGCTTAGTATTCACTTATGCTATAGATTTAAGTTGCTAAGGATTCTTGAGGACAGAAATTGGATCTGAAATATACTTGTGCCTCATTTTCCCTTTCCACTAGACCCAGGTCTGTAGTTTACTGTCTTTCGGTGAATAATTACTGAGTTTTTGCCTTCAGATCAATTTTCTACCAGAAATTAAAAGATAAGCCCACTAAATAATTCCAAGTATCACATTATTAGTACTAGGAAAGTTGTTCAGGATGCTGTGCAAGTTGAGAAAACAGAGCCATTCTCATCAGTTTTACTTGGAATGATAGGGCAAGACCCCTTGAGTCTTCTATAATGTTATTTATTGAAGCAACCAAAGAAGAGCTTTCAAACAAGGTGATCCTTACTTGTTGGATTTTTTAGTCCAACAGAAAAATGTATATGTCTGACAAATTTTCAGACTTAGAACCTAGGATATCTTCGTTTGGGTAAAATCTCCAAACTCCCTTCTGACCACATGTTATACCCTATCCCTGATTTTTGCATGCAGTTGAATTTGTACTCCATTCCTTATATTTGAGATGCTTAGTGCTGCCATGCAAATAATTAAGAATCTATCATACTGGGACAGAAACCCTAGGGTAGAGAAGAACCTTTGAAAAGGTTAGAACTACCTTATCACTCCCATTTCTTGCAGCCACAGTGTGATAAGGAGAGGAGGCTAGCCCTTCCTGGATAGGTTGTTAAACATGCTGAGACTTCTGAAACATGCCAAGACTTCCGAAAAGAAAAGGTGGTGGGGAGTGAGTGGTTTAAAATGTGGCTGTGGAAAATGTATCTCTTGTTACTTAAAATGATCTAATTTAAACTTATTTTAAACTACAGGAAAATATGCAGTAAAGAAGTCCCGGAGAACTGATGTGGAAGACCTGACTCCAAATCCCAAAAAACTACTCCAGATAGGCAATGAACTACGGAAGCTGAATAAGGTGATAAGTGATCTGACTCCAGTCAGTGAGCTTCCCTTAACAGCCCGGCCAAGGTCAAGGAAGGAAAAAAATAAGCTGGCTTCCAGGTAAATGCTAATAATGTTCACTTAGGTGAATAAAGTCTAGGAGCTGAGGTTAGACCCTAAGTGAGTTTTTATAGAAGAGGTGACCTTCAAACATTATTCAGAAACTATATTTTTCTTTTATTAAGACCACAATGAGGCAGGGCGCAGTGGTTCATGCCTATAATCCCTGCACTTTGGGAGGCTGAGGAGGGAAGATCTCCTGAGGCCAGAAGTTCCAGATCAGCCTGGGCAACATAGTGAGACCCCATCTCTACAAAAAAAATGAAAAAATTAGCTGGGCATGGTGGCACACACCTGTAGTCCCAGCTGCTCAAGGAGGCCAAGGTGGAAAGATTGCTTGAGGCCAGCAGTTTGAGTTTGCAGTGAGCTATGATCATGCCACTGCACTTCAACCTGGGTGATGGAGCGAGACCCCATCTCTAAAAAAATGTTTAAAAGACTACAATGAGAATATTATAATTTTTCCTTCAAAAGTAAAAGATGGTATTTATGCTTTATGGAAAAGTTTTTAAGAGGGAGAGGTAAATGGACTCAAGTGCATTATATTATAGGATAACAATAAAAAATGTTAACATAGCTTTATTTTTTGTTTGCTTTTTTATTAAGTCAGGTTTATTGAGGTATAATTACAGTACAATTTATCCCTTTTAATGTATACTTTTTGAGTTTTGACAAACATATCCAATCATATAAGCACCACTACTATCAAGATATTGAAAATTTTTATCACCTTAAAAAGTTTCCTCATTCGTCTTTGTAAAAGCAAACCCCTTCTTGCACTCTTTGCTCCTCATAACCACTGACCTGTTTTCTGTCCTCATAGTTTTGCCTTTTCCAGAATGTCATGTAGATGGAATATAATGTATGTGGCCTTATGAATTTGGCTTCTGTCACTTAACATTATGCATTTGAGATTCATCCCTAGTGTTGTGTGGAGTAGTAATAGTTTGTTTCTTTTATTGCCAAGTAGTATTCTTTTGTAGGGCTATACTACAATTTATTCACCAATTCAGGGTTGTTTGGACTGCTTCCAGTTTTGGGCATTTATGAACAAAACCACCATAAACTTACGAGTGTTTGTGTGAACATAAGTTTTCATTTCTCTTGGATAAATACTCAAGCATATATATTTAACTTTATAAGAAACTGCCAAACTCTTTTCCAAAGTAGTTATATGTATTATTTTATATTCCTGCCAGCAACATGTGAGGGTTCCACTTGCATCACATCCTCTACAACACTTGGCATTCTCAGTTTTTGTTTATTTTTGTTTTAGCCACTACAATAGGTTTATACTAGTCATAGTTTTATTTTTGAAATGTGTGCTAAATTTTCAAATATTATTTTGAATAAATAATTGTATTGTGTTTTTGGTAACTCAATTCTTTGATAAACATCAGTAGGCAGTGATTTTTGGGTGCTATGAGAAAATGTCTGACAGCAGCAAAAAATAATATTCTGAATATTTACTTAAGAAAGTGAACTAATTGCTCCTTCCTTTCACAGAGCTTGTCGGTTAAAGAAAAAAGCCCAGTATGAAGCTAATAAAGTGAAATTATGGGGCCTCAACACAGAATATGGTAAACTTAAACTTTTAAGAATTTGATTAACCTCCCCTTATTTGCTGACCACTCTCTTTTTCTTTGGTTTTGTTATTTGCTTTCCCTGCATTCTGCCCAGTTTTGGGCTAGCCTCCTATTTGTTTATCCATTCAGTAAGCCACATGTTCACTTTCATTCATTCTTGTTCTTTTAGTATAAGTGTCTGTATCTGTGGCTCCCTAAGTCAAATCTCATCTCTATGCTAACAAGCTGAACCACTTATGACCATAGTTATTTCTTCTATTTTATAATTGTGTTGCTGAATTAGTCAGTTTTGTTGACTTATTTTAATATTTCCCTTAAATTGAATAATAATATTTTAACTTTTGTGTGGATAATTTAGCTCTGTGTTTTCCAAATTTGATCACTTACTGGAATTGTCTGTGTACTTGTTAAAATATAGATTTCTAGGCTTCTCCTCAGATCTTCTGAGTTGGAATCTAATAGAACCCAAGAATCCATAATTTTAGCACTTGCCAGCTTGTTTTTATGCAACCAGCCTGGTATTTAGTTGGGAACCATTGGTTTTGATCTAAACCAAATAATTCTCAGTCATTCACATCATGGCACATGTAGACAATTCTCATCTCTAAGGCATCTTGGAATATAACAAGAGTAGGCTGCTCACGGGAGGAGGCCCTTGTGTTGTCTCACATACCTGGAACCCTTTTAGATGCTCTGGTTTTGATCTTGTGATAAGAACTACACTCTCCGTTCTCCCTTAATCTGTTTAAGCCTGGTCTAAGAGTTGGTATGTTCCTTTTCCTCTAAAGTTGTCCTCTTCAATATGTAGCTCTTGGGCAAGTTGAATCTGAAAGTGGAACTATGCAAAATGATCAGTTACTTGTTTCTAGAGAACTGTTCTTAAGTTTAGTGTGATGTCTGGTGCTCAATAAAACTTTGTGCAGTTTTTCTTAATCTTTTATCTTGATTCCTTTTGTGAGAGCAGAAAGAGAATTTCTGATTGTAAAGTTAACAACTTGTGAAACGAACTGATGTTTTTATTTATTAATGGCCATGCAGTAAATGAATTAGGTTAAAAAAAAATGGTTTGTTGAAATAGAAATCTATCCATTTGCCTATTCTTTCTTGCTGTTGAAGCATTTTGACCTCAAGCTCTGTGAGTGGCACCCTTGCGACCTCCTAGTAATCTGGAAGTCACTCACTATTCATTACCTGTCAACCCACTGGTTTCTAGAATTTGTGATTTACAAATCAGTGACATTTGAAATAGATTTTGGGACTTGAAAACACAGACTTCTCAGCTTTATATTAGGCCAAGTGAGGACATTGAACATCAACTATAATTTAATCAAGGAAGGATATTTTAGTATTAAAAATTGAGAAGGGTATAATCTCCTATTAAATTTGGCTTTATGTAAAACATTCTCTGTTGTCCTTATGCTTTTTAATTTGTCATGAACTGGCATTGTTCCAAGGACTAGCTTCAGGGACCCACAATACTACTCATTTCATCCTTTACCACCAAACTTCCTTATTCTATTGGTTCCTACTACCAAATCTCCTTAGAGACTGCTGTGTGAATCACATGTAAATTTGTTGACTCAGAAGGAGAAATAGAACTGTTAAATGGATCGGACTTTCAATCCCACTGATATATTTTGTCCCTAAACAAGCTATAGGGGAAATTTTTTTTTTTTTCGAGACAGAGTCTCGCTTTGTTGCCCAAGCTAGAGTGAGTGCTGTGGTGTCAGCCTAGCTCACAGCAACCTCAAACTGCTGGGCTCAAGCAATCCTGCTGCCTCAGTCTCCCGAGTAGCTGGAACTACAGGCATGTGCCACCAAGCCTGGCTAATTTTTTCTAGATATATTAGTTGGCCAATTAATTTCTTTCTATTTATAGTAGAGACGGGTTGTCACTCTTGCTCAGGCTGGTTTCGAACTCCTGACCTCAAGCAATCTGCCCGCCTCAGCCTCCCAGAGTGCTAGGATTACAGGCGTGAGCCACCATGCCCAGCCTATAGGGGAAAATTAAAATCAGAAAATTCCCAGATAAACATGGTATCAGAGAAGGGGGATCTGTTAATGGATTTAATGTTTGGACTCAAATTCTGAGAGCCAGATGCTTCTGTTTCCCAAACCAGAGGTTTGTGGTAGCATGAGAGCACTTTTCCTTTACTCTCCCTTCCCTACTAGTGTTCCTTTTCCTCTCCCTCAAGGCTTGAGAAGAACTATTCTGCTCTGTTTTAATTTTGATTTTATAGTGGTGGGTTTTTTTCTTTTGAAAGGAACCTTGAGATGGCTCACACCTGTAATCTCAGCACTCTGGGAAGCTGAGTCAGGAAGATAACTTGAGGCCAGGAGTTTAAGGCTACAGTGAGCTATGATCATGGCACTCTAGCCTGGGTGACAAGAGCAAGATCCTGTCTTTTAAAAAACAAACAAACACACACACAAAAAAACAGTAACCTTATTTACTTTTAACCTGTTGAGTGTGGGAGAACCTCATTGTTTTCTATAAGTCCAGCCCTTATGTAAATGTCCTTTAGTAAATAGTGTTCTTTGTCAAGTATTTATGGAGCAGCACAAATTTCTTGTTTCATGTGATTTAGGAAGTTAGCTCTACTTTCCTTGTTTAATGATACATTTTTCATGTATTGGCCCTGTATATACTTGTCAATTGTCCCACTTCCCTATTGTTTTTCACTTTCCTCTTCAACCTCAGTCTAGATTGGCCATTTCTTGGTATTACTAGATGATGAGAAATAACAAATCACTGGTTTCAGAGCAGTCTCTAAAGAGGTAGAGACTTATTTCATACCATAGGAATTCTGTTCATGAAAATTAAAAATGTGTTTTGCCCCTAACTTTATTGAGTTATAATTGAAGTACAATAACTCTACATATTTAAAGAATGTAATTTGATTAGTCTGGACCTATGCATACAAATGTGAAATCAACCAAGAAATGAATATTTCTGTTACCTCCAAAAGTTTCTTTGTGACCCTTTGTAAGCTATCCTACCTTCCATACTCATCCCTGAGTAGCCACAATCTGCTTTCTGTCACTAGAGATTAGTTTGCACTTTCTAAAAATTTATTTTAATGAAATCATTAATGTTCTCTTTTTTGCCTGGCTGCTTTCACTCAGCATAATTATTTTATTTATTTATTTTTTATTTTTTTAGAAACAAGGCCTTGCTATGTCACCCAGGCTAGAGTACAGTGACCCAATCATAGCTCACTGCAGCCTCTAACTCCTGGGCTCAAGCGATCCTCCTACCTCAGCCTCTTGAGTAGCTGGAACTATAGGTGTGCACCATCACATCCATCTAATTTTTTTTTAATTTTTTGTAGAGACAGGGTCTTGCTCTGTTGCCCAGACTGGTTTCAAACTCCTGGCCTCAAGTGATCCTTGCCTTGGGCTCCCAAACCCTGGAATTACAGGCATGAGCCATTGCACCCAGCCTATTCAAATATTTTGCCATTTAAAAAAATTGATTTCTCTTCTAAAGGTTTCTTTTTTATTCTGGATACAAGCTATTTGATATATGTATTGAAATTATTTTATCCTAGTCTTTGGCTTGCTTTTTTGTTTTGGTATCTTTCAAAGAGCAAACATTTAAAATTTTGATGAAGTTCAATTTGTCACTTTTTCCTTTCATGTTTCATGATTTTTGTGTCCTAAGAAACTGTTGTCAACTCCAAAATTGCAAATACTTTCTTGTATATTTTCTCTTAGAATTTGTGTAGTTTAAGTTTTGTGTTTAGGCTTATAATCTATTCTAGGTCAATTTTTGTGTATGGTGTGAGGTAATAGATGATATTTATTTTTTCCACATGAATATCCAGTTGATCAAGCACCGTTGATTGAAAAGACTTTCCCTACTAAGTTGTTTTTGCACCTGTGTTCAGTCAGTTGACCATTTATATATGGGGCTACTTCTGGACTTTGTATTCTTTTCATTGACCTGTTTGTCTTTATCTGAATACAAAACCGTCTTGATTATGGTAGTTTATAGTAAATCTTGAAGTCAGGTAGTGCTAGTTCTTGTTATTCTAACATCAGTCTTTTTTTCTTTCTTGTTTTTTTTTTTTTTTTTGGAGACAGGGTCTCACTCTGTCGCCCTGGGTAGAGTTCTGTGGCATTGGCCTAGCTCACAGCAGCTTCAAACTCCTGGGCTCAAGCAATTCTCCTGCCTCAGCCTCCCAAATAGCTAAGACTACACACCCCACCACACCTGGCTGGTTTTTTTTTTCTATCTTTAGTAGAGATGAGGGTTTTGCTCTTGCTTTTGCTCAGGCTGATCTTGTTGCCTCGGCTTTCCAGAGTGCTAGGACTACAGGCGTGAGCCTCTGGGCCCAGTCAAGTTCCTATTATTCTAGTTCCTCCAATTTTGTTCTTTTATTTCAAAGTTGTTTTGGCAATTCTAGGTCCTTTGCATGTCTATATAAATTTTATAATCAGTTAATCACTTTTTCCAGAATATTTACTGGAGTTTTCATTGGGATTGCTTTGAATCTGTGAATCAATTTGGAGAGAATTACTATCTTAAAATGGAGTCTTCCAATCCATGGACCTGGTATTTTTCTCCATCTAGCTAAATCTTTAATTTATCTCTGCTATGTTTTATATTAATAGTTTTCAGTGTAGAGTGCTCGAACATCTTTTGTTAGATGTAATCCTGGGTATTTTATATTTTTAGTGTTGCTATAAATGGGATTGTTTTTGAAATTATATTTTTGAGCTATTTGCTACTAATATATAAAAATGAATTTTTGTGTATTTACTCTTGTATCTTGTGATTTATTAGTTAATAAATAGCTAAGTGTATTTATTAGTTCCAATAGCGGATATGTAGATTCCTTGCTTCCTACTTCAGCAGTCACTATCTGCTAATAGGGGTGGTTTATTTCTGATCTTTATCCTTTTTATTTTTCTGCCTTATTGTAATGTCTAAGACATCTGGCCACAATGTTGAATAAAAGTGGTGATTGCCTTGTTTACAACCTCAGGGGGAAATCTTTTACATACATGTAGGTATGATTATGGTTATGTGCTTTTTTGTAGATGACATACCTTTTATCATTTTAAGGTAGTTCCTTTATATTCCTAGTTTCATTTATCATGCATGGGTATTGATGCTTTTTTTTTGCACCTATTAGAACAATCATGTATTGTTCTCCTTTGTTCTGTTAATATATCACATATTTACCTGTTAAGGTAGTGAATTACATTAATTTATTTTTGATTGTTAACCAACCTCGCATTATTGGAATAAACTCTATTTGGTTATGATGCATTTTCCTTTTTATGTTGGATTCTATTGCTAATATTTTATAGTATTCTATTCTAATAGTTTTGTTGGATTCCATTGGTAATGCTTTCTTAAGGACTTTTGTGTCTATATTCAAGAGAGATATTGGTCTGTGATCTTTCTCTCTCTCTCTCTCTCTCTCTCTCTCTCTCTCTCTCTCTCTTTCTTTTCTTTCTTTTCCTTCTTTCTTTTTTTTGACAGAGTCTTGTTTTGGTGCCCAGGCTAGAGTGAGTGCCGTGGCATCAGCCTAGCTCACAGCAACCTCAAACTCCTGGGCTCAGGCAATCCTCCTGCCTCAGCCTCCCGAGTAGCTGGGACTACAGGCATGCGCCACCATGCCCGGCTAATTTTTTTCTATATATATTAGTTGGCCAATTAATTTCTTTCTATTTATATAGTAGAGACGGGGTCTCGCTCTTGCTCAGGATGGTTTCGAACTCCTGACCTCGAGCAATCCGCCCTCCTCGGCCTTCCAGAGTGCTAGGATTACAGGCGTGAGCCACCGCGCCCGGCCTCTTTCTTTATTTTTTGTAATATCTTTGTAAGGTTTTGGTCCTAGGGCTATACTGGCCTCATAGAATGAATTGGGCCATGATTTTTCTTCCTACTTTTTGAGAAAGTTTGATAAGATCAATTTTATTTTTTCATTGTATCTGTGATAGAATTTGACATTAAAATTCTCTGAATTTTCTTTTGGGAAGATTTTTGGTAACTTCAATTCCTTTACTAGAAATAGGCTATTGAGATTTTTTTATTTCTTCTCGTGTCAATTTTAAGTTGCATTTTGAAGATATTTGTCCATTTCATCCAAGTTCTTGACTTTTTAGCATAATATTTTATTATCCTTTTGCTCTCTATAGATTCTAAAGTGATAACCCCTCTTTAATTCCATATACAGGTGATTAGAGTTATCTCTAATTTTTCATGATCAGTCTACCTGGGAGGAGGGACTGTCAATTTTGTTTTGCCTTTCAATTTTTTTTGTTCTTTTCAAAGAACCAGATTTTGGTTTTGTTAATTTTCTTTATTGTGTATATTTGTTTTTCTGTTGCATTGATTTATATTTTTTATTGTCGCCCTTCTATTTAATTTAGGTCAACTTTAAACTTTTTGTTTGTTTGTTTGTTTTTAAGCTTCTTAAGGTAGGAAAATTTGTTTTCAAAGCTCTTGTCTTTGAAGGACTTGTTTATTATTTACCAAGGTCCTGTGCTTTGATATAGTAGGCGCTATCAATCTTAAAGCAGTGAAGACTAGTTGCTTACAGGGTAGTGGACATTGATGCATGTCAACAATGTGTTATCTTTTTTTTTTAATTGTTTTTAAAATTAGAGATTGGCCTTTCTGTGTTGCCCAGGTTGGGGTGCAGTGGCTATTTACAAGTGTGATCCTAGCATACTAACTGTCTCAAACTCCGGGCCTCAAGTGATCCTCCCGCTTCAGCCTCCTGAGTAGTTAAGATTACAGGTGCGCACCACTATGTCCAGCTACAGTGTGTTATCAAAAATGCTCAATGATATTAGGGTGTAAAAACAAAAAATACATTTGTAGAAACAAGCAGTTTTAGAAAAGAAAAAAAAGCCACATCATTCGAAGTTAGTCTCTTTAGATAGAAAGCATATAACTATCACTACTTAATGTTCTTACATGTTCGCCATTTTTAATTGAGTATCTGTTATTACATAATTAAAGGAAATTCTTCCATGTTAATGAAATATTCCAAGTGTTTTGTTCTGTCTTACAGATAATTTATTGTTTGTAATCAACTCTATCAAACAAGAGATTGTAAACCGGGTACAGAATCCAAGAGAGGAAAGAGGACCCAACATGGGCCAGAAGCTTGAAATCCTCATTAAAGATACTCTTGGTAAGAAGAATTCATAAACAAATAATAACATGTAGCATAGAATTATAATTCAAGGGAATATTAGAAGTTCTTTTAGTTTAAGGAAAAAGTCAAATGTTCTCATTGTAGTTATTCTCCTTTATGAGTAGTTTTATATTTTGAGATTTATTGTCCATAAACATGTACTGCTGGTTACCATAATTTGTAATTTAGACTTAATCATTAAACAGTTTTAACTGAAGTAAAACAGACTTCTAGCAACTCTAAGCTTCTATAGGGGGAAAAAGGTCCCTGAGCTGTCAAGCCTGCAGTTTGCACTTTAGTAGAGATTCATATTTGTTTTACTCAGTAGTACATTTCACATGATTTTAACAAACTTGGCCATCTAGTTTCCCATCCCTGAATAGATAGCACAATGTGGGGAGGATCAGAGAGGCGGGCATCCAGAAGCCAATCAGACTGGCAGCTGACAGGGAGGAGAGAGATGGCTAGACATGAGAACTCGAGAGGCACAACAGCTTTGCTGCCATAGGAGCAAATCACCTTACAGATCAGTGGCATCCCAAGGGCATCACAGCATAATACACTCTTTGAAAATCCAAAAATTAAATTAACACAATAAAAGGTCAAATGTTTATCTTGAAGAAAACTTTGTTTATATTGAAAACAGTCTTAGTTGAATAGTAGACCCTAAACATCAGTATTTTCTTAAAACAATCGCTTATTTCCCACTTCAGTGTAGATTAATTCAGTGCTTGCCTTTTTCTTCAAATGGATTTGTGCTATTTTTAATGTTTTATGTATTCTTTCAAAGCATTTCTTTCTTTTCTCTTTAAAAGCATTTTCAGTCTTCCTTTGTTAGGTATAGGGGGAAATTTAATATAAGAAAAAATTATTTTTACCTTTTTATTTTTTGTTTTAAAGTCTTGTATGTTGATAAGCTTGAAAGTCAGTTTTACCAGATGGAAAATCCTTGACTCACATTTTCTTTCCTTGAGTGTATATTGAATGTTTTTCTCCATTTTGTTCTGGCAGAAAGCATTCCTATTGAAAAGCCAGTAATTGCCTAATTATGTTTTCCTTGTAAATAATGTGCTGGTTTTGCCTAAGCGCTAAGAGGATTTTTTTTCTTTAAATGCCAGTGATTTTTACTATACTTTGTCTTAGAGTTGGTCATTTTAGGTTAATATTTTCACGTACACTTTGTGTTTTTTCAATATGTAGTTTCAAATCTTTTTAGTATTTGACCTATTCCCTTCCTTTGCTTTTCTTCCACAAAGACTTTTATTATCTACAGGTTGGATCTTCTTTGCCCATCTTCAGTATTTGTCACTTTTTCTCAAATCTTTTTTATCTCTTCTTTTCTTTTTTATTTTTAAATTATTTCTTCTTTTCATCCTCTGTTTCTCTTAAAGCATTATTTGCTGCTCTTGTGTTCCTTTTAATTTCAGGAATTTTTTCTTTTATTTCTAATTATTTTCTGAGTTCTGTCAGCTTATTTCTGAGTTTTTGTATTTCTGATTTATGTTCTTTCATGTCTTGTGGCTTTTAATGTTTTATAATTCATTTTGAAATAACAGTAGCCTGTTTCTATCCATTTTGTGGTCATGTCTTTAGGTATGTTCTCATTGTTTGTAGAAATGTTCTTATTCTCTTTTTCTTAGAAAAACTTTTTATGGAATTCTGACTATGATATTTTTCTGTTGCTCATTTAAAAAAATATTTTTTAGAGATAGGGTCTCACTGTCTTGCCTAGGTTGATCTTGAACTCCTGACCTCAAGTGATCCACCTGCCTCAGCTTCCTGAGTAGCTGGAACTGCATCTGGTTTAAACTTTTTAAAAAAGGGTTGGTTTAAAATAGCTTTTGTAGGCTGACTGCAGCAGCTCACACCTGTAACCTAACCTACTCAGGAGGCTGAGGCAGGAGGATCACTTGAGCCCAAGGCATGGAGGTTGCAGTGAGCTGTGATGGACCCTGTCTCAGAAAAAAATAAAATAAAATAAAATAGCTTTTCTAGCTTTTCAAAGTCTCTGCTTTTCAGCTAATTTTAAAAGACATGGCAGCTTGCTTTCTGAGATTTCTTGTTCTGCTTCCCTCCCTCATTTTATCTGGACCGTTTCTTTCTTTTGTCTTTTTTTGCTCAATTTTAATTCTAACTCCAGAGGTTTCTTATCAGTGCTGGCTCTTGTCCTATAAGAATCCTAGTTGCTCCATTTTCTGAGTTCCCAGAGGCTAGACTAGGGGCCCCTTGCACTAACCTTATCCTCATTATTAGGTTAGAGAAAATCTCTCATAGCTGCAGTTGCGGTTATCAAGTTGGCCTCCTGTGTTTTCCAGTTGAGTAACCTATTGGCTATTTTAGATTTCTTTTGTTCGCAGGTCCATCACTCCTTTTGGTTCATCCTACATGAATACTGATAATGCTGATATTGTGCAGTTCTTATAGTTTTTGATAGTTTTTTCCCACCCTTTTGAATGTTGGGGTTCCTGGGGATACCTTGTTGCTTGTGAATGTTTTCCATGGGTTTATAGTTTTACCATTTAGTTGTTCTGTTTTTATTAATATATGGAGATTAAAAATCTATGTTGCCATACAGCCATCTTCTCAGAATTTCCCCTGGACCAGTTTAAATACCTTGGAGTTTCTTTCTTTCTTTCTTTTTTTTTTTTTTGAGACAGAGTCTCACTTTGTCGCCCAGGCTAGAGTGAGTGCCGTGGCGTCAGCCTAGCTCACAGCAACCTCAAACTCCTGGGCTCAGGCGATCCTCCTGTCTCAGCCTCCCAAGTAGCTGGGACTACAGGCATGTGCCACCATGCCCGGCTAATTTTTTGTATATATATTTTTAGTTGTCCAATTAATTTCTTTCTATTTTTAGTAGAGAGGGGGTCTTGCTCAGGCTGGTTTTGAACTCCTGACCTCGAGCAATCCGCCCGCCTCGGCCTCCCAGAGTGCTAGGATTACAGGCGTGAGCCACCACGCCCGGCCTGGAGTTTCTTTCTTAAATATTAAATTCTCTTAAATCTTAAAATCTCTGTTAGATTACAACCTTTTCTAGGGTCAGCTGTTTTGTTTTTTGTTTTGAGACAGAATCTCACTCTGTTGCCCTGGGTAGACTGCAGTGGAGTTATGGTAGCTCACAACAACCTCCTACTCCTGGGCTCAAGCCATCCTCATACGTCAGCCTCCTGAGTAGCTGGGACTACAGGCGCATGCCATGACACCTGGCTAATTTTTCTATTTTTGGTAGAGACTGATATTTCCATTTTTAGTAAGACAGTGTCTCATTCTTGCTCAGGTTGGTCTCAAACTCCTGAGCTGAAACAGTCGTCCCACCTCGGCATCCCAGAGTGCTAGGATTGCAGGCGTGAGCCACCTCGCCCAGCTTAGCCGATATAAATTCTTACATAAATTTTCATTGTTTTCTGAATACTTTGAAATTTTAGGTTTGATTTTACTCTTTGAGCCAAGAATTCTTTGAGGGAGATTTAAAATTTCCCAGAAGGTAGGGATTATTATTTTCTAGTTTTAGTCCTAATCTCTAGTTTTTTTGTGACTTATTAATATTTTCTTAGCTTCTTAATACATGATTACAATTTTAAATATTCTGTGGGCATTTGAAAAGAAGATGTATTTTCTGTTTAATATTAAGATACCCATATATGTTAACTAGATTTTCTTACTTAGGTTTTCTTTTTTATTTTATTTTATTTTTGTGGGAGGGGTCCATTTACTCTGTGTAAAATAGAGAAAGTCTCCCACTAATGTGCTTAAACTCTGTCTCATATTTTGTGTGTTTTTGCTTTTGAATGCCGGGATGTATGAATAGAATTTATTACTACAAGATCTTCATATGGATTATGATTTTGTCTTATTTACAGCTTTTGCTGTAAATTCAGTCTTGTCTAGTATTATAATCATGATCATAAATGCAGCTGTTTTATTATTTTTTGGAATATCCCTTTGCCTACGCTTTTATTTTCAGTCCCTCTGAATAATTTTATATTATGTCTTTTTAAAACATTTTAGTTAAATTAAAATTTGAATAATTTACATGCCATAAAATCTATTTTTATATATTCACATATAGCATGTATTTAGATTGTCTTTGTTATTCATTTTTGGAGTTATGTAATAGGTGAGTTTAGCTCATTTTTACATATTGATATGATCTATGTTTGGTTTTCTGTCATCAAAAGATCTGCTAGGATATGTTTATATGGTCTTTTGCCTTTTTAAATCATTTAATATATGATCCTTTATTATGGTTTCACTTTCGTTTGTGTCCTCTGATAATTTGCAGACTTTGTGTTTTTGTCTTGTAGGTTGCCTTTTTAACTATAACATAAAATGTATATTTAATCTTTTTTCTCAATTTTTCATTTAAGATTTCAATCCTATAGAATAGTAGGGGAAAAAGTACAGTGAACATCTATCTGCATTTCATTCAACTTGATTCACAAATTGTTAATATTCTGCTACATTTGCTTTATTTCTGCTTCTACCTACCTATTTTGGTGGTGGGGGAGACGGATATTTGAAGCTAACTTGCAAATACCATGATTCTTCATCTGTAACTATGTCAGCATGTATTTTTTTTTTTTTTTTTTGAGACAGAGTCTTACTCTGTTGCCCAGGCTAGAGTGCCATGGGGTCAGCCTAGCTCACAGCAACCTCTAGCTCCTAGGCTCAAGCAATCCTTCTGCCTCAGCCTTCCAAGTAGGGACTACAGGCATGCACCACCATGCCTGGCTAATTTTTTTTATATATATATTTTTTTAGTTGACCAATTAATTTCTTTCTATTTATAGTAGAGACGGGGTCTCACTCTTGCTCAGGCTGGTTTTGAACTCCTGACCTTGAGTGATCTGCCCCCCCCCCCTTGGCCTCCCAGAGTGCTAGGATTACAGGCGTGAGCCACCTCGCCTGGCCACAGCGTGTATCTTTTAAAAGCAAAAACATTCTCCTAGTCAGCCACAATACAGGTACTTTTATACATTGATAAAATATCTAATATGGAATCCATATTTAAATTTCCCCAGTTGTCCCAGTAAGGTCCTTTGTAGCCTTTTTGTTTATGATCCAGTGGAGGATCATGCATTGCATTTGGTTATATCTCTTTTGTCTCTTTTAATCTATGGCAGCCTGCCAGTCTTTTTTTATTTTTTTTTTTAATGAAAAAACCAGGTAGTTGATTTTGCAAAAAGTTATAACGTTTAGATTTAATCTATTTCCTCATGATTAGATACGGTTACATTTTTTTTTGCAAGAATGCAGCACATATCCTCCTCATTTCATCAATCAAGGCACATAATATCAGTTTGTCCCATTATTGGTCATCCTAAGTTTGATCACATGGTTAAGGTGGTATCAGTTTTTGTTGTTTTTTTGAAACAGGATCTCTCTCTCTATTGCCCTGGCTAGAGGGCAGTGGCCTGATCATAGCTCACTGCAGCCTAGCACTCTGGGAGGCCAAGGGGGGCAGATCACTCAAGGTCAGGAGTTCAAAACCAGCCTGAGCAAGAGTGAGACCCCGTCTCTACTATACAAATAAAGAAATTAATTGTCAACTAAAATATATATAAAAAATTAGCCAGGCATGGTGGTCATGCCGTGTACCCTACTTGGAAGGCTGAGGCAGAAGGATTGCTTGAGCCTAGGAGCTAGAGGTTGCTGTGAGCTAGGCTGACCCCATGGCACTCTAGCCTGGGCAACAGAGTAAGACTCTGTCTCAAAAAAAAAGGGCTCAAGCAGTCCTCCTGCCTCAGCCTCCTAGGTAACTGGTACACAGGTGAAAAGCTGCCATGCCCAGCTGATTTTTGCATTTTTGGTAGTGACAGGGTCTTGTTATGTTGCCCAGACTGAGCCTCAAGCGTCCTTCCTTGCCTTCAGCTCCCAGAATGCTTAGCGATTACTGGGCATGAGCAACTTTACGCGCACCTGGCAATGTGGTCACTATTCTTACAGTATCTTTTGAGTCTTTTGACTTCTTCCTGTGAGTAGACTCATTAATATGTCTTTTCTAATCCATCTCCCCCTTCAACTTGATGTATACCTTGATGCGTGTTGAGAAGAGTTCACTTTGTTGCCAGGCTTAGAGTGAAGTGCCGTGGCGTCAGCCCTGGCTCACACAGGCAACCTCCAAACTTCCTGGCTCAGCGATCCCTACTGGCTTCAGCCTCCCGAGTAGCTGGACTACAGGGCAACGCGCCCACCATGCCAGTAATTTTTCTGATAATAATATTTTTAGTGTCAATTTATTTATTTCTAATTTATGGGTGGTAGGGGAAACGGGGTTCTCGCCATCTGGTTTCGAACTCCTGACCTTGAGCAATCCGCCCGCCTCAGCCTCCCAAAGTGCTAGGATTACAGGCGTGAGCCACCGCGCCCGGCTATTTTAAGTATTTTTTTACCTCACCGTGGGAGATGACGGAAGATGAGAAAATCAGCATACTTACACTGCTCCCACATTTTCTCCCTCTTCTCTTCCAACATTTCTTATTCATTCACTTTTCTTTAAAGTGGAGAAAAAGGAACATAAAATTCAATATTTATTTTAAAAAAACTAAAAACATCCTTCAGATCTACATTTCAGTTGCATGAAACTGAAACCCACCCATGAAACATGAAGAGATTTGAGCAGGTAAAAAAGACTGAAGAGAGAAAGGGAAAAACATGTTTCACAGGCTGTGAGTTTGGGTTTGGACTGTTATTATTTCTCATCTACCCCACTTTAAATATTTTGATTAACCATTCTTTATGATTATTCTTGGTTTGACTCTTCTAATCTTAAAATTGTAAACTCTAATCCAGATGTCCTCAAACTAGGACATTTATCCGGCCCATCAGGTGTTTTTGCTGCCACTGCCTGTCCTGCTTAGCAGCCGACTCGTCCCGGGCCCACAGTGCGCATGTGTGGAATGTGTGCTGCACTCTCCAGTGGCGCTCCAACAGTCTGAGGGACAGTGAACTGGTCCTTTAAAAAGGACCTCTGCTAATCTGATGGATAGAATTATTTTCTGGACTGCAGTAGTAAACAACAGAGTACTCATTTGGGACCAGTATCAAGCTGAGGGCCACCCCTAACATTCACATGTTTCCTACTCCTTCCCTTTGCTTAATGCCTTTCCATTTTTGTCTCTAAATGTGCCTTTTATTCTTCTCTTCAGGTCTCCCAGTTGCTGGGCAAACCTCAGAATTTGTTAACCAGGTATTAGAGAAGACTGCAGAAGGCAATCCCACTGGAGGCCTTGTAGGACTAAGGATACCAACATCAAAAGTGTAATCAGCTTCATGGGACCACTGGTCAGAAATGTCTGCGTTTGTCACATTATCCATTGTAAATTTTCATTCTGTTCTGCATGTCAGTTAGCATTATGTAAACATTTACAATTAGGTTACATTGTTTTAAGAACTAAGTAGCATAAGGTGAAGCATGATCCAAAATACTTGATTATTGCATTTTCAGAGCATAAACCGTGGTTAAAACTGCTACCGGCATCGGAATTGCAGCTCATACATTTAAGTAAACGTTTAGGTACAGATTGCAAAAATCTGTTAAAGCAAAACATTTTGAAGGAGTAAAATGGTAAAATGCCAAGTATTGTGGCAGGTTTATGCTCTGAACCACACAAAAAAATTGAAGCATTTTTTTAAACAGTCAGTTTAGATTGTTTTTAGAATTACCGCTTTCTGTTCTAATTTTTCACAACTATTAATCTCACTTGTATGTGGCACACCCAGCATTCGTGCCTGTGTGCCATATTAGATGTTCATTGTCAGAGCTTAATATGATATATATAAATATATATATATAAATATATATATACAAAACTGTCTGTGCAAGTAAGAAAAAAAGCATATTCTTTGTGCCTTGTATTTTGGGGAAACTATAAAACTGGTAATATTTTGTATGATGAAAACCCTAATGAGGAAAAACAAGATATATAGATGGAAAAATTATGGGGTTTAAATGTTTTTTTGTTCCAACTCTTTTTCAAACTTTTTGAATGTATATAGGACTACGTTGAAATGTAGATATATGCCACAGAGTCTGTGTATTGTATAAAAAACAAAACAAAAAAAACAACAAAAAAAAAGATGGCTCTAGAAAACTCATATTTCGGTACTTGACCGGAAGAAGACAAATACTTGCACATTATTGCGATTGTTTTATTTTTTGTACCAAAGACAAATGCAACTGATATGGCAAACTGCCAGTCTAAGTAAAGTTTTGCACAGCTTACACGATACTGTATGAATGTATGAAAAAAAGGAGAAAAAAATTAAAAGGTCAGGGTTAGGGATCTTACTGAACTGTGAATTTTATTTCTGTTTGGGTCCAATTATCTACAGAAGGAGCATCCATACATACAAATATTATTTTGCTGTTCCTCTAGTTTGCTTCCATAGTAGATAAGTGGTGGCCATTTAGATGTCTGTCTTTTATTTCTGCCCTTATTGTAGGAAATTTTAATATATTTCATTTTAGTAAGCTATTGGTAAAATAGTTTTTGACTTTGAAAATTAAAAAGTTTATTTAGCTTATTGTAGTATACTTCCACCAAACCAAAATAGATTATTTTTATCGTATTATGTATATATATGTAAAGAAAGAAAAAAGCTAAGAATATCTAATTCTTTAGTTGCCACTTTTCCAGTTGATGTATTATTGTGCATGTAATATTTTCAAAGATCAACACAAGCTTAAAACGAAAACAAAAAAGTTTATAGATTTTTATATTTTTGTACAGGTATTTTCAAACTAGCTTCTTCAGACTTACATGTGACTTATTCTTCTATAGTTTCTAGAATTGAGAAACATTAACACATTTAGTTTTTAGGTGCTCTTTTTTGCTCATATGAAACAGCTTCATTAGTCAGTGTTTTAACTGTGTTCAAGCTTTACCTCTTGAAGAGAAATTTCTTATGTCAAGGCAGCATTATAAACCTTTCCCACAGATCTTTCCATCCTCTTTCTCTTTCTGTTTTATTCTCAAATCTTGTGTTTTGAACTCTGGAAACTGGTGGCTTAAAAACTTAAAAAAAGAAAAAACGTATCTATTTAGCAAGAAAAAAATACCAAAAATTTCAGACTTAGCTGCTGGGAAAATTATCTGTTTCTCCATTACCCTCTGTAGAATTTATTCTTTAATTATACTTTGTTTATAAAATGTTTCCTTTTCTATTACTTTCTCTCCTTCTCCCCCCCCCTTTTGTAAGCTATAGCACATGAAAGCTATAGCTTATAAAGGTTTGATTCTAGAACACACAATAACAACTGAACAGTGTTGCTTGTGTGCTTCTTTGACATCATGAAAAAAACTGAGAAGGATTGTCTTAACACCTTAGCTGAACTGTGATGCACAAGATTTTTCTGTGTGTTTGGTGGAAATGTACCTGGTTAGTGCATTCACACTAAACAGATGATAAGCTCAAATGTAACGGTTTAATAGAATATAAGTTCATTGTTTAAAGTTTTTCCTTTTTAGGTGGGAGAAGTCAAAGCACAGGTTTGCAACTGGGAAGTATATGAAGTCTTGACAGTGTGTCTGGTAAATTGAAAAGTGTTCCAAAATATGGCAGTTTTGCAATCAGGTGAAAATCACCTCATGATAGAGATTCAGCTGATGAGGTTTATAAAATTGCCCCTTTCTAGCTGCTCTGTTAGGAATTCTGGTTTTTTGATACTTTTCTCCTGTCTGCAAACCAGAATTTGATTTTTTGGTCTTGCATTTCAAAAAAAAAGACTTTGAATCTGTTTAGTAGATTCCATATCCTTGTGTTTCAGTGTTTTATATGTACTACTTAAGTTAAATAGTTAAAAGCTTTTAAATAGTTGAGCTTTTTAATGTTGACACTTTATTTTGTACCTATTTATATATGTATGTATATCTTAGAAAAAGCACTTTGTTAAAAAAAAATTGCATTTTATATGATTCCTGCCATTTGCTGCTAAATCTGGGCTGGTCAGAATGCTGCAGCGATACTTGATCTAAATAAAAACCTGGCAGTAAAATGTAGAGTGAAAGTTAAATCCTCTTGCTGTTTTAACTTTTTCATAAAGATGACATAGGCAAGCTGTGCAGCTTTACATTTTAACCAGGGGACTCTGTGGCATTTAAAACCGTCTAGAAATGGTTGTACTTTAATGCCAGTAATAATCTGCTTCCTCTATTGTCATTAAAATATATACGTTTAGTGTATCACACAAACAGATCTTACAAGGGTAATGTAAAAACCCCAACAATTGTACATGTTCTGTTTTTGAAAATTGTGGCATGTATTTTTGGGTGAAGATCATTAGAGAAGAGCTCTCTAAAGGTTTTCTGTGTTCATACATGGTATACAGATAACTCATAATGAAGTCCAGACTCTTACTTTAAGTAAAGGCATTGTGAATTCACCTCAAATAAACCCATTGTTCCAAAAGCAATTATAAACTTTGACTCTAGTACTACTATGATTTAAAAACAAAAAACTTTCTTCCTAGTTTCAGATACACTGGATTCTTTATAGAGTTTGTCTCCACATGAAAGCATGCTGTCCAGTTGCTCTTGTAAAGATCTTGTCTGAGTCTTGAATTGGGTGCCACACTTTTTCAGTCAGTATGATTGCTTGTTCTGCTGTACCATGTATGATTCTTGTCCTTTCCTATATCCTTCATGACAGATTATGATGTGGCTTTATATTGTGCCTTACTTGTACATTTAAAACTAAATGTCTTCATTCCCTTCCACTTCCTAAATCTTTAACTTTGACCTTTTTGGTAAGAGAATCAGAACTATAACAAAAGCATCATGAAGGATTTCAGATGGGTATTGTTGTAAATTCCCTCTCTTTATAGTTATTTTATATTTGTACGAAAGACCAGTTTTTGAATGGTCTTTGAATATGAGGGGGAAAGATAAGCAGTAATTTCACTACATCCCTTTTCTCTGACTTTCATGAATTTGTCATACATCTTCTTTCTGATGCTTGACTTGATTTGCTTCCTAGCAATAGTCTGCATTTAAAGAAAGATGTGTTCAGTTCATTAGCTTGAAATTGACTATTTCATTTTTCCAGAATTTTTTAGGAGAAGAGTACCCATTTTGTTTGTTTTATAAAACAGATGACAAGTCTCTTTAAAAGAAACAGAAGTACAGTACTTTTGAAATACAATGCTGTTAGTTTGGATTTCTTTTTTTATATATAATATTCATAAAATGATCTGATGTTTGCCTTCATTAATAAAGCTGTTAGTTTATTCACCAAAATGTCAAGAATGGATGTGCTTTTCTTTATTCCATACATTAAAAAATTTTTAGCTGCTAAGATTTAGTTAATGTTCTAAGAAATGAATTCAAGTTGCCTTCAGCAGGAATTAACAAAAACTTATGTTCCCTTTCTTTATATAGTCTTCCTAAAATTCTGTTCAAATATTTTCTAGTTAGTTATGTAACAGAATGTTAGCATCTCTCCAAATCTTGAAACTTGAATTTTGAGAATGCATTGAATCATGCTTTCAGTGTTAAAGGTTTCAATTATCCTTCTAGTGAAGTCTATTGTGGAATACCATTTCCCATGGAACTGAGGCCGTTTCCACAACTTTGCACAGAACTGCAGTCTTGTTCTTCCCTCGGATCATGACAAATAAGTCTCACACAGTGCCGTAATACTTGTGGATTCTTTTGTAATCTTTGTAATCTTAATAAGGGCATTACGAGAAGATGACTCCATGTTTTTTTTAATATTTCAAACACATTGGGATGTAACAATGAATGTCAACTGTAGGAATGGTTGTTTCGTTTTAAGGAATAAGCATGTTGGGAAAGATGATGAAAATGTACTACTGAAAGTTATACACTTCCATAGGCACGTGGGATTATGTGTTGAAGCATAGTCCTCATGCTCAGCAAACTGACTGAAATTGTAGAAATTACACCTAGAAACGGAACTATGCCAAATTGCCATTTTTGTTTAGAAAAGAGAGGTTTGGAAGTAGTAGTGAGGGGATAGAACCTTAAAACTACTTCCAAATAGTATTTTGGAATTGAAGACTTGGTGACTAATGAAGAATATCAGAGTTGGATATTTCAGTGTGCCAAGTTTGGGTGAACTAGGTTTGCCTCTTTCATAACAATGTAAACACATGATGGTGTAGTTAATCAAATTCTGGGTAGATAGGAGCGGGACTGATTACTGTGTCTTGCCCTTCGCCCTTTGTTTTTTTCGGAACCAAATAACAGAAGTGTGTGTGTGTGTGTGTGTGTGTGTACTGTATCTGCCTTTCCACCACATTTTTATGACACTGTATTCCACTGCCTGCTTTTTTACCTTCTTTCCCTAGGATTTGTCCTATAGCTTAGCATTTATGGTTAACAGTGATACTGGGGCTGACAGCACAGAAGTCACAAGAGAAGAGCGGAAGGGCAAGAATTTAAAGCATTTGTTCATATGATGTGGCAACCTCTTTTGCATAGCTGCATAGGATCCTGTTTGTAATGCTATCATTAAATATTCTGTAGTTTTGTTTTTTTTTTTCCTTTCCCTCCTAACTGGAGCGATGACACTTTTTATTGGATTCAGTCTTGTCTCTTGTCTAGAAAGAATTTTATCTTGTTGACGCATGAGCTGTTTAAAAATTATTCTATTAAATGTTGGTTAATAGTTGTGCAGTTTTTCATTTCAGAAGAAAGGCAATGCAAATGTTGCCTTTGTTTTCTGTCACCTTCCAACCCCTCAGCACTTCTAGTCAGATACAGACTCATCAGTGTATGCAACATCCTTTGTAATTTAAAATAAAAAAAGATGAAAAGGTTCCGAATTGTTTGCCTCTTGTTTTTGCGTTTCTTTCTCTGCTCCTTCTCTCTTGCTTACCTAGGTAGTTATCCACTTCTCAAGATAACCTATTCCAATAGTACTATAGTACCAGTAATACCCTTTTGGGTGCATGAATTGACAGGCCAGTAAAGCAGAATAGAAAGTATACAAATAGACTCAAATATATATGACAATTTAGTACAGTAAATGTGGCATTCAGACCCAGTAAGAAAAAGGTGTACTCTTCAGTAAATAGTGTTGGAACAACTAGGTAACCTGGAAAAAGTAAGGTTGGTTCTATGGCTTACACCATAAGCTGATAAATATTTCAAAATGGATAAAGATCTAAATGTTAAAAGACAACATAAAAACACTAGAAGGAAATGTGAACAATTTGTTTAAATTTCTGGAAGTGGGGCAGACCTTTCTAACTTGGTCCTCAAATCTGGGAATCAGAAAAGAACATTGATAAATTGTAAAACAAAAATGTTTAAATCTTTAAGGCTAAAACACTATAAGCCAAGTCAAAATTCTATATACTTTACAAAAAAAGCTTTGCAACTCATCTCTAAGGGATAATGTGCCTAATATATAAAGAACTCCTAGAAACTGGTATGAAAAAGACCAACAGACTGATAGAAAAAAATGAGCAAACAATAAAGTAAATACAAATATCTCTGAAACATAGGAAGAGACCCTCAACCTCATTCATGGTAAGAGAAATGCAAAATAAGATAAGGCATTTTTCACCTAATCAGATGAACAAAAATCCCAGTATTTATTAACACACTGCATTGGCAAGGTCATGGGAAATGGGCATTTGGCCCATGTTGCTGGTGGGAGTGCACATTGACATGGCCCTATGAAGAGTAATCTGGCAGTTATGTCAGAATTTTAAGAACCATACATCCTTAGACCTGGAAACTCCATTTGCTCTGGGCAAGTCATTATTCCTCCCTGCCTTGTTTTTTACTTCATAGAGTTGTGAGAGTTAAGAGGGATAACGCACATAAAGCACTTAGTACAAAGTGCCTGGCACATAAGTTTTCCCAAAATGTTGGCTAGTAATATAATAGCAGCTAATAGGCATTGAATTCTTAGCACATGCCATGTTATCAGACTGTGCTTGGTCCTTTTCATGTATTATCTCATTTAATCTTCCAACAGACACTGAATTGGGTGCCATTGGTTCTCACCAGTTAGCCTCTGAAAAGACTAAGGCACAGAGATGTGAAGTGGGCTCCAGAGCAGGATTGAAGCCTGAGCAGAAGCCTCATTATTAGGTGCAGTGGGATGATGAACACCTTAAATGTGCAGACTGCTAAAGGAACACAGATAGGTGAGCACATAGCCCTGCTTGTACAACACACACAAGGAGCCATTGGGTTTTTAAGGGAAGAGGTGGCTTTCAGTTCAGGTTCTCTCCCTTCCAATTTGGGTAACTCTGGAGTAGGGTTGTTTGGTTTTAATTTACTTTCACCCTATCTCCTGATCTGTAAAACTACATTAGTCCTAATTTCAAGGGTGGTTGTGAGGATTAAGAGAGATGAACATAGCTATAGCTAGGCATTCAGGTCCTCACAATGTATGCTCAAGGAAGTGACCTGAACAAATGCAGATGGGTTAGGGGTGTGTGAGGAAACGTTCTAGGAAGAGGAAACGCCACATTCCAAGGAAAGAGCTTAAGGAATCCAGGAAGGGGGCATGTTGACATGAGGTGACTGATGGCCTTGAGGACAAGCCAAGAAACTTGGACTATTTAATAAAAATAAAATGAAAGAGCCACCCCTTGTTGAGACTTTGCTATGACATTTCCATCAAAATGATATGACTCCATCAAAACTACACCAGTGGGGGGAGGGGAGGCATGGGCAATATATGTAACCTTAACACTTGTACCCCCATGATACACTAAAATAAAAAAAAACAAAAAAACTACACCAGTGAGGTAGTTTTAACAAATCCATTTGTACACAAAAGGGAGCTGCCAGGAGCCATAGAAGGGATGGATGCAGGCTGGTGACTTGATCAGTTCTGTTTCAGAAAGAGCCCTTGGACCATGTGTTGAACCGATAGGAGATAGGAGACGCTCTAGTGACCTGCCTTGAATTCCATACATTAGCAACAACAAAAAAGTTTTATCATTTTCTCTTCTTCACAATTTATATTCACTGTAGAAAATATAAAATAAAAGAGTTTAAAGAAACATAAACAATTGTTGATTGCACCTTCCAGAGACTTCCCAATTGATACTTTTCTTCCAGTCCTTTTCTATGCAAAAAATTTGTAGTCATTAGAATCACTGATAGGTGGAAGGTGGAAAGAGATCACTGTTAAGCGTTCTTTCTTATTATTTTGAGACAGTCTCGCTTTGTTGCCCAAGCTACAGTGAGTGCCATGGCATCAGCCTAGCTCACAGCAACCTCAAACTCCTGGGCTCAAGTGATCCCAAGTAGCTGGGACTACCGGCATGCACCACCATGCCCGGCTAATTTTTTCCATATATATTAGCCAACTAATTTCTTTCTATTTATAGCAGAGACGGGTCTCACTCTTGCTCAGGAGCTCAGGCTGGTTTCGAACTCCTGACCTCGAGCAATCCGCCCGCCTCGGCCTCCCAGAGTGCTAGGCGTGAGCCACCGCGCCCGATCGGCCCAACCCTTCTTAATATTCCCTCTTCTCTTCCTTTCCGTTTTATCAGGACCAAACCAAGAGGAGAGGCTGATTTCCCGCCACGTGTCAGAGAAAGTGGCCACAACTCGGCGCAGTGACCCTCGCTTGCCATTTACACCGGTCTGTAGGGGGCGCTGGCCCGAGACGGAGGGGGGGGACAAAAAGAAGGCGGTGCGAAAATGCGTTTTAGTTTGGGCCCCGCCGCTGCCCGTAGCCGGCGTCCCCAACATGGCGGCTCCCCAAGATGTCCACGTCCGGATCTGTAACCAAGAAATTGTCAAATTCGACCTGGAGGTGAAGGCGCTTATCCAGGTAATGATTCCCGGGACCCCTGCCGGGCTCCAGCAGCCCTAACCCAAGCTCCGCTGGCCTGTGAGCTCGGCGGACTCACTCCTGAACTTTCCCCACTTGGTCTCCCAGGCCGTTGGCCCCGCCCCATGACCATTTACCCTCTTGTCCCCAGTTGGTCCTGCCCCCGTGACTGCTGGCTTTGATCCTCCATCTGGGTGCCCCTTCTCCAGAGCACCTCACTGTCCACCGCTCCTAACCCGGCCACCTTTTCGTGGCCCCGCTTTGTCCCTCCCACCCACAACCCGGCTGTCGCCCCGCCCGTGAACCACCTCACAAGCTACCTGTCATCCTACTTGGCACCGCCTTCTGACACCTTCCTCATCACCTGGTAGAGTCCCGCTGGCCATGAACCCAGCCCCCTGCCAGACAGCTCCGCTAGCTCCCAAGGCCACCTGGCACTGGAGGGATCGGGTAAAGTGAACGTAACCTAGACCGCAGTTGTGTTTTTGTACGTGAGGACATCGAGTAAAGCACCAAGGCCAAAGTCAGAAGTCAGGCAGTGGCAAAACCAGGACCCGGACTGGGAAACTCAGTCCAGGAAAAGCACCTTAAGAGTCTCTGTTCCTTTTAACAGACAGGGAAAGTAAAGTGCTTTGCCTTAAGGTATTTAAAGGCAGAAGTGCAATAAATCAGTTTGCCTAGACAGTGTTAGGAATGTAGAAATGGTTCCATGAGTTTAGCAAAAAGAAACCAAGAGTTTTAAACCTTGGTTTTTAAAAGTAAATCATTTCCATTTCCAACAGATGTCACTAAACCTTAGATGGAGACTCAGAGTTTGTGACAAAGTTTGCCAAAAAGGAAAGGAAAGGAAAATAGGTGCAGATAAACCAGGTGCAGAATAAACCAAATTAGTGTTTTATCATATGATGCAAAGAAATGTGGGTTAATGAATAAGCCAGAGAACAAGTGAAGAAACTTGATGCAAACATTTAAACTTCTTGAACTTCACTTCTCTGACACATAAACTACAAAAATTCTAGAAAAATAAACGTAGGATTCATATAAATGAAATTACCTTTTCACATAATCTAAATTGCTTAGGTCCCTTTTTGTACTTTTTCTAACATTTGCGTTCTTGTGATTGCTGATGGGGAAGATTGACTAGAACTAGATATATTGCATTCAAACTGTGTTCTAGCTGCTCTGCTAAGTGCTTTACCTACATATATGATCCATGAGGTAGGTAATATGATAAGGAAACTGAGGCACAGAGAACTTAAGTAACTTTTTTAAGAGGTTACACAGCTAATAAGTTGCTATAGCCAGGATTTGAATCCACATAGTCAGGCTCCAGAGCCTGTTCTGAAACCCAGCACTAGTAATTCTGAATGTCCTGCAACAAATTCTAAATCTACCCTTAAACATTTCTGTAAACACTCTGATTTATAACTGATGGTTTGTAAAATCAGACTGAAGAAATTAATCTTTTCATTTGATTCCAGGTATTTAAGCATCAGATATTAAATCTAAAGGATCTAAAGTTCTAAAGTTATAGTATCACTTTTGCATGTTCATTCTGTTGGACTTACAAGCTGTTTTACGCTTTTCACACTGGCCAGGTGATATGTATTGTTCAAATTTAGGAACTAAAAGGTAGGTCAAGGCAGAAATTATCTGCTTAACATTAAAGAGGCATGTAAAAATGTAAATGATAATGGTTTTGCTTGTGTTGCAGAGGTGAATAGCAAAGATCAGGATGAGTTACAGTCAGTAGGCCAGTCTTACTGTACACATGGTGTCATTTCATTTCATTGCCTCGAGTAAGGCCTCTCATCTCTTCAATGTCTCCTAGGATATCCGTGATTGTTCGGGACCTTTAAGTGCACTTACCGAACTGAATACTAAAGTGAAAGAGAAATTTCAACAGTTACGTTACAGAATACAGGTGGGTATTCCCAGATCTGAGATGCTGAGAATGGGTAACAGTAAAGGGGGCTCAGTCCTGGTTATAGCCTCTGCTTTTAGAGCTGTCCAGTTTTTTTCAGATACCAGCTGGAGGGAGTAGCAAACATTTTTAGACAGCAAGGGTGACTTTGTACTAACCTGTTTATCAGGTAACAATGAGAAACTTTTGAATACAGAATACTGTCAGCTGTGTCAACAAGTGGATGACAGGAATACCATTATCTTTGGGATTTTTTTTTAAGGCTAGTCAAGTGAAGCAGTGGGAGTGGAGAAGGAACAAAGGAATCTGTAACTGGTTGTGATCAATTAGTTGTAAACACCACTGCACTAGGCCCAGCCATATTCCTGAAATATTTGAAACCCTGAGGCCAGTTCAACTGCTTTCTCTTCTCTGCCACCCTCTCCAGCCTGTTCACTCATTTTCACCTCAATCCATCACCAGTGTCTCCTGGGTTTTTCTCATGCTGTCACTTTGCCTAGCATCTTCCTTTCTGTTTCTGTAGTCAAGAGTCACATCATGTGCATGTTTAATACACCTGAATTCAACTGTGGTATGTGAGCCATCTCCAAACACACTAGAGAGCCAGGCACAGTGGCTCACACCTATAATCCTAGTAACTCAGGAGGCAGACAGGGAAGGATTGCTGGAGCCCAGGAATTTGAGACAGCCTGGGCAACATAGCCATCTCTGAAAAGATTCTAAAAATTAGCTGGGCATGGTGGCACATGCCGGTGGCTCTAGCTACTTCAGAGGCTGAGGTGGGAAGATCTCTTGAGCCCAGGTGTTTGAGGCGATAGTGAGCTACAATCAGGCCACTGCACTGCAGCCTACGTAACAAAGTGAGACCCTGTCTCTTAAAACAAAAAAATCCCAAACACTAGAGAATGAGAAGTAGTGAGGGAGAGATGGGTGTCATGAATCTGCCTATCCCTGGATGGGTCTTGGGGTGCCTGATCTCATTGCATATGGTACTGGGGTTTAAAGACTTGTGCTTTTCATATAACATGACTTCAAAAGCTGGCCAACAACTCTATTGTTGCTTAACAGAAGAAGATAGTCTGTTTCAAAGCTGGTAGAAAAGCTGGCCAGTTGGACACCTGTGCAACAGTGTGTCTGTGTCCTATGTGTTGGCTTCCTAAGCGATTTTCAAGGGCAGTTTTGAAAATGTGCAGTTTTTGCTATAGGAGTTAACTATAGACTTTCAGCAGTGTCACCATACCTAGCTGATCTCTTTCGGCCTCCATCTCCAGCACTGATTTAATCATTTCAATTTTTTGTTTTGGGGAGGATGTTACTTTTACATGTTTGATAAATGTGTATGTAAATACAGACATACAGTGAAAAATCTCAGTTATGTCTCTTTTTTGTTCTCTGTTCCCCTCTTCCAAACAGGTAACCACTTTTGTTACTAATGTATCTTTCCAGAGTTTCTCTACTCACATATTTTAAGAGACAAATATATTTTGTTATTTCTTCCCCAATTCTCATCTAAAAGGTAGCATACTAAAACAAGGCTTTTTTGTTTTGAGACAGAGTCTTGCTCTTTTGCCTGTTCTAGGGTGCGGTGGCATCATCATAGCTCACTACAACCTCAAACTCCCAGGCTCCAGCCATCCTGCCTCAGCCTCCCAAGTAGCTGGTACCACAGGTGTGCACCACCACGCCCAGCTAATTTTTCCTATTTTTTGTAGAGATGGGTTCTCGCTATTGCTCAGGCTGGTGTTGAACTCCTGACCTCAAGTGATCCTCCTGCCTCCGCCTCCCAGAGTGCTAGGATTACAGGTGTGAGTCACTGCACCGGCATGAAACACAGCTTTTTAAAACTTAACAGTATGTATTGGAAATCTTTCCATATCAGTAATTAGAGACCTTCCTCATTCTTTTTAAATAGCTGTAATCTTTTTTTAGCCAATTCTCTATCAAAGGGCATTTATTTGGACTGCTCCCACAGTTTTTTGCTTTTTAAAGCTAACTTATTCCCAAAAAGACCTTTCTTCAACTTAGTATGACTTCAACTCTCCAACTACACCTACCACCTTCAGTGTGAGTGTTTCTCTGTTCTTTTGTTTAAGTATCGGGGTGCTCACCCAGTGTTTATTTCCTTCGCTAATTAAAATTACCTTACCAGTACATTTACATATATATTATTTTGCCCCCACATCCCCAATAATGTCAACACCTTGAGCTGAGGTATTCCTGGCACCTAGTAAAGACCTAATAAGCACATGGTCAGCAAATGAATAACCCCATCCCTGGCTAGAGTACCATGGTGTCAGTCTAGCTCACAGCAACCTCAAACTCCTGGGCTCAAGCAATCCTCCTGCCTCGGCCTCTTGAGTAGTTGGGACTATAGGCATGCGCCACCATGGCTGGCTAATTTTTTCTATATGTTTTCCGTTGTCCAGCTAATTTCTTTCTATTTTTTTAGTAGAGACGGGGTCTCGCTCTTGCTCAGGCTGGTCTCAAACTCCTGAGCTCAAATGATCCATCTGCCCCGGCCTCCCAGAGTGCTAGGATTATAGGTGTGAGCCACTGTGCCTGGCCTTATATACTCTTTTTATACCTGGAAATAAATACAAGATTTCTATTTGTTTGATGTTTTTAACTTTTATGCCAATGTATTTTTGTGTATTGGTAGCAAGATCGTGTGATACTGGCAGAAAATTGGCCTCATCCTCAAAATATTTTGTTTTACACATAGTAAATGTTGGGCATTGATTGTCTGTAAGTATCTGTGTGTCTGCTTTTGCATATATGATTCTCAAACTGGCATTTGAGAACTATTCTACCCGCTTTCTTCTCTCCAGAACTATCACTGGCTCTTTGTGACAGAGCTTCCAGGCAACCTTTCCTGAGAAAATTGTACATTTCTCCTTCATTCCTCCTTCCCTTCTTCCCTTGCATCCATTCTTCCTTTCAGTGATTCTGTGCCTAATATGTGCCAGGCACAAGGGATATCCATAGTGAATAGCACTAAATAAAGCTCTGCTTATTCATCAGTTTACATTCTAGTAGGGAATATAGATTTTATATGAATAATTATATGAATAATTAACTGAATACATTTGCAAAAGTTTTCTAATTCACAGTTGATTGTTTTTTTGCTCTCTACCTCAGCAATATTTAGAGACATAAATGGAAAGTCATCTCTGATCTTCTGAAATGGTAGATATACACATTTGTTCCAGACCAGTATGTGCAAATAGTATATAAGTAAATAAATTAATATCTAAATGAGCAAATACAGTGATGTTTTAGATCAATAGCTTGATTAGAGTTGGAACCTGTTTTAATTTGTAAAGAAAAAAATATGACGTGAGACTTGACTTTTTTTATAAACAAAGAAATCTTTATTATAGTCTGATAATTCCATTATCTGAAGTTCTTGGAGGTTTAATACTACTGGTTATGTCTGCCGACTCTCACTCGAGGTGGATCGTTTCCTTGGTGTTTGGTTATTTTGGACTGTGAGCATTCATCTTCAGCAGACCTTACCTGTGGGACTTTGTGCAGCCTGGGTGGAGGATGAGTCTCTCAGAGGTCTTTGCTTCTGCCAGGTCTCCTGGGCTGATCACTAGCCTGAGAACACTATTTATGTCAATTTTTCTTCATGGAGTTTCTTGAGCGACTCAGAGAAGATAAACTGAACCTCAGATCAGTGTGAGGGCAGCTCCCTGTTTATAAATTCTCAGGGGAGATTTCTTTTTTTTAACTCATCTTATCCAGAGCCTAAAGCAGAAATATAAGGTATTTTTGCTCTGCTGATGGACAGACATTTTCCTAGAACTTTTCCCTAAGGGCATAACCTTTTTTTGAGTCCTGGATTTGTGTCATTCTCAGTTCCAGTTTTTGGGCTCAGCCTCAGATGGCTTGAGGGTTCATTTTTCTATTCCTATATGATCTCTCAAACCTTGTTGCTAATGAAGTTGAGAGTGACTATGTGGAAACATACAGTAGGGTTTTTATTGTTTATTTTATTTTAGCATATTACAGGGTTACAAATGTTTAGGTTACATATATTGCGTTTGCCCCACTTGAGTCAGAGCTTCAAGCGTGTCCATCCCCCAGACAGTGCACACCACACCCATTAGGTGTGAATATACCCCCCTCCCCTTCCCCATACAGCAGTTTGGTAGTCCCATGATATCTAAGTGTGGGATCAGTGGGCTAGTATTTTGTCATTTTTTTTTTCTTTTCTGGCATGCTCTGGATTATAAGAGCAGCAACTCCCACTACTGGGCAGCCATGCCTCACTCGTAGGCTGACTGCTCTGGCTCTCAGTTCCTTTCTCCCTTTTATGCCCTAGGGATTCTTTGTTGCAGATGTAGCTATATATTTAAAAGGATGTGTGTTATATGTTACCTAGCATTCCTAGGTGTTCTGTTTTCAAAGGGTGCTTCAAGTGCTATTGTACGCCTTTGCCAGAAATAGAAGTGCTTTTCTGTTTTCATATTGGTGTTTAAAATCATTTTAACATAGAGCTCTTTTTCTGCACAGGATCTTGAGCAGTCAGCTAAAGAGCAAGACAAAGAGTCAGAGAAGCAACTTCTACTCCAGGAAGTAGAGAATCACAAAAAGCAGATGCTCAGGTAGGCAGGGCCTGGCCTCCTGCCAGTGGCCTCTGCTGGGTCACTTGTTCCCTGTGAAGCCTGTGCGTGTGTTTGCCTAATAAACCTGGTTTAATGGGTACTTAATTATATCATTTATACACAGGCGGAATGTTCTCTTTAGATCAGTAATTCTTAAATCGGGGCAGTGGGGCAGGGATAAACAGGGCCCCTGTGGGCAGGTGGAGCTGTGCATAGTTTACAGAAGCATATTTAACATTGTGCTGTATTTTATATTTTTATTTTATTTATTTATTTATTTTTTGAGACGAAGTCTCGCTTTGTTGCACAAGGCTAGAGTGGAGTTGCCGTAGCAAATCAAGCCTAGCTTCACAGCACCTCAACTCTGGGCTCAAACAATTCCTCCTGCCTTCAGCCTTCCCGAAGTCTGACTACAAGCATGTGCCACCATGCCGCTAATTTTTTTCTATATGACTATTAAGTGGCAATTTAATTCTCTTTCTATATTTATGTAAAGATGGTCTCATCTTCTCAGGGTGGCCTTTCGAATCTCTGAACCTTCGAGGCAATCCCCCCGCCTCGGCCTCCCAGAGTGCTAGGAAATTACAGGCGTGAGCCCTTGCGCCCGGGCGCCTTATTTTAACAAAAACAAAATGTGATTGCTTTTGTAATACAGGGTTGTTTTTATCTAGGAATAATTGTTACCAGGAAAAGTCCACTGAAAGAGAAACTACTTAAGTTGGACCAAAATTTAAAAGATTTTTGAATGGGATGTCATCTGAAAAAATTGAACAAAAAAATGTAAATAAGTGTATGTTATGTTAAACAAAATTGAGATTATAATTGCAGCTGTGTGATAATCCTTAATTATATAACTGCAGCAATGTGCCATTTCTTTTTTTTTTTAGTGTCTAATTGAAGTTATGCCATTCCTTTTTTTTTGAGACAGACTTTTTTTTCTGTCCTCTGCTAGAGTGCCGTGGCGTCAGCCTAGCTCACAGCAACCTCAACTCCTGGGCTCAAGCATCCTCCATGCCTCCAGCCTCCCGAGTTAGCTGGAACCACTATGCCCCGGCTTAATTTTCTATATATTAGTTTTAGCTTAATTTGTTTCTATTTTTAGTAGAGACAGGCTCTCACTCTTGCTCAGGATGGTCTTGAACTCCTGACCTTGAGCAATCCAGGGTGAGGAACCACACTCGGCCTGAAGTTATGCTGTTTCTTGATACTGAATTGGGAGAGGTATAACTTTTCCAACAGAATTGCCTGACAACATGAAATAGTATCTTTACTGTCATCACATTTGACTTTTTGTACCTAATTATAAAGAAAGTTGTTGCTCCAAATACATCTAAGGGCTCCATCAGCTTTCCCGGTTGTCTGGAGTCCAGATCATTCTCTTCCTCATTCTTATCATCGCCACAGTTCTTTGCCCCTGTTCATTGGTCCACCTCAGCCAGATCTGCATTTGTGCTGTGCTTCTGAGCACTTCCACAGCGCCATCCTCCCTGACAGCCGCTGTGTGGCCAAGACACGGCCCGGTGAGCCCAGTGTCAGGAGAGAGGCCGAGTGAGTGGCAGGCGATGTTCCAGTGCCTGGCTCATTAGCGATCACTTTGTATTATGATGGCTTTTGCTTTTCTGAGCCACCAGGCGTACTCAGATTATAAACACCGAGTACAGAGGAGCCCTTGTATAAGGCACAGTAAGTCATAAAGACACTCAGCCGAGCATGGGTTTAGAGCTGGGAATGGCCATCCATGAAGTGGGAGTTACAGGCAGAGGAGATAAAGTGGTGAAATTAGTACTTTGTCAGCTGTGTTGTGCTTGCCTGGTCGTTGTGCTTGTCACACCATACACGAAGCATCTGTCTGCTTGTCTCTCTCCCCAGTAAACGTGAGCCCTGTCCAGGCAGACGCTGCCGCTCCTCCACCCTGCATCCCAGGGCCCCACAGGACTCCCTTGCAAACAGTTTGAGAATGTAATTGATTCTTTTAGAATGGCAAGTGTGAACTAGCAGAGCACATGCTGTTTAGGCATCAGAGAGCCCATTTAAGGACCTTCAGCATAAAGGTGCTATTAGAAGACCACCCTGTCAGCTCATGTACTCTGTTCTAATTTTAGAGTATTTCCAGGGATTGGCACAATTGGTTTAAGCCGGCTGCATAAGAGTTCTGGAGCATGGGTATGATTCTCAGAGGGACGCAGTTAGCTTTTTTATAATTTATTGACAAAGGCTGCATTGCTAAACCCAGGGAGCTAGCTATTACATTTCAGTGGTCACTCACAAGGGAGCTTAGGTAAAGAGTATTAAATAAACCACGTCAGTCAGGGCCCTGCTAATACAATATGTTTGTGTTGTTCACGACTGGTCTGTAGTATGTAAAGAACAACAAACCTTGAAGAAATATTGAGAATAATTGGCTTTTTGTGATCTGCTTTACTTCCTACCACATATACTAATCCAGCAGCTGAGGGGCCAGGAACGATGCTGTAGGTACTGGAGATACAGAGATGAGTGAGTCATAGTTCTTAAGTAACAGCACCAGCCAGGACACGTGTGCCCCGCTGGGAAGTCTGGATGCTGCCCTTAAGTCTGGAGCCCTTGTGGGGCTGTGCACAGGGAGTGGCCATGAGGGGAGAGGGACAGCCACAGAGCATCCCGAAATGGCCTCCAGGTCCAGTTGAGTGGTGTCGGGTCTGAGCGAGGGCAGTTGCTGGGCACCAAGAGGAGGAAGTGGCAGGAGGTGGGGTAGAGTCTGCGGGCTACACCTGGGGGGCCTTCCCTATTGCTCCTTTGCTGGAAGGAACTGCAGTGATTAGAACTAAGGAGCTCGGGGAGTCGACAGAAACTTACCCGCGACCCTTCTGATTCCAGCAATCAGACCTCATGGAGGAAAGCTAATCTCACTTGCAAAATTGCAATCGACAATCTAGAGAAAGCAGAACTTCTCCGGGGAGGAGAGCTCTTAAGGCAAAGGTACCTGTTCTTTTGTCTTTCTGGGCTTTGATAATAGAACAGATAACAACTGGCAAGATGTAAAACCCACAGCAGGAAACCTCCACTTGTTTTTAGTTTGATATTTAATTTTATTATCTAAATAAACTTTTTTGAGGTTTGAATGAAATGCATACTTATTTGTAGTAAATTGGTAAAATAAAGAAAAGTATGAATTACAAAGTGAAAATAAGCTGTAGTATTATTACTTGTGAGCATTTTGGCATATTATTTCCTCATTTTTTCTTCTTCCATATTTTTCACAAAGTCAAAATCATATCATATATAAAATTTAGTATCCTATTCTTTCAGCACACAGCTTGCCCATTTTTTAAACCTAAACAGTGCATAGTATGTTGATTGTATGTTAGTACAATCCCCTGTGTATTTGCATTTCTAGTTTTTCAGTATTGTTAATAATACACCAGGGCATATCTTAGAACATAAAGGCTTTATCCACATTTTGGATATTTCCTTTGGAGAGATTCCCAGGGATGAGATTATTGGGTCAAAGGAATGAACATTTCTAAGGCTCCTGATCTATATTGGCAAATTGCTTTACAAAAGGTAGCATTGGTTTATATTCCTACTAGCAGGTGCAAGAGTATGGGGCTGAGCACGCCCTTGCTGTTAACAGTATTGACTATGGTCATTTAAAATATCTGCACCACTTTGATAGGTAAAAACTGGACTCTCGTTTGAATATGGGGCCTGCTTGCAGTGAGGCTTTTGTTGACATTCCTCCTCCCCCTCCTCTGGACTTTTAGGAAAACCACCAAAGAAAGCTTGGCCCAGACATCCAGCACCATCACAGAGAGCCTCATGGGGATCAGCAGGATGATGTCGCAGCAGGTCCAGCAGAGCGAGGAGGCCATGCAGACTCTAGGTAAAGCCAGGCCTGGAGTAGGAAGCTCTCCCAGAGGCACTGGCTCCAGAGCCCTCGCCAGGCCCTTCCACCCTGGGCATCCCCCCGCTGCCCAGCCGAAGCTTACCAACTCTGGCTTCTCACTCGACTCAGCTTGACAGCTGGTTCTTACCTGGAGTGGGAATGTGCTGCTTTTGTTCCTCTTTTATTGTACTAGATGACCCCATAGCCTGGCAGCATTTCCCAGTGGACGCATTCCCGGGGGCTCATGTGAAGAGCAGAGACCCTCAGGCCTCTCCCGGAGAGAGGGTGTCAGCAGGCTGGCCAGGGGGCCTGGGATTCTAACGTTCAGTGAGGGCTCGGGCCCCGTATGGCCAGGCAGGTTTGGTAATTGTCACCCCAGGAGCAGTTTAGTGTCAGCTGCTGGTAAGACTGCTAGGACCTCGGTTTACAGTCATACCCCCAGTCGTTATTCTTCCTGTGAGTTCCTTTTAAAAGATCCCCGTCAGGAGCTATGGGAGAGACTGAGAGCATCTGGCTTGTGACACAGAAGAGACGCACGCAGCCCTCGCCAGGGCCCTTCCGTGTAGAAAACAGCGTTTACTCCTTGAAATGCTTTTGGAAAATTTCACACATAGACAAAGTAGTGAGCATGGTGTCTTGAGTCCCTGAACGTGTCACCCACTTCAGCACTATTAGCTCATGGCCAGTGAGTGAGTTTCAGTTCTACCCTCACCCCATTACCCCATCTGGATTATTTTGAAGCAGATTATTTTGAAGCAAATATCTCAGCTAGTCTGTCTAAAAGATAAGGGACTCTTTGGGGAAAAAAACAAAAATAATCCCATAACTATAATACCATCATCACCCCTAGCAATTATCTGTAATTCTGAACCACTTTTTTCTCAGTGCACCATTCAAACAGCCAGAGCAAAGGAAAGCAAGCAAGTAACCCCCGGCCACACCTTGTGTTTGCAGTTAGCTGAGCTTTCAGGCCCAGAACCAGCCAGCCGCCGCCTCCGGGTACGCCTGCGCACGGCCGGGCCTCGGGAAGGAGAAAGAATGAGACAACATGGCCTTTGAGTCTCCGCTTTGGTGCTCTGATGTGGGTGACAGGACACCCCTCTAGCGATGAGGAGACACAAATGCTGGTGCTTTCTGGGGTGATAAGGGGCCCCCAATGTGAGGGTTGTTCTCGGGGCACACTTTTAGAAGAAATAGCTATTGAAGAAAGGGGAAAGTGCAGTTCTTAATCCTTTCTTTATGTCCCCAAATTCAGCTGGATTTAAAGGCCTATAAGGACTACAGTTTAAAAGAAAAAAAAACCTATTAGAGATACGATGCCTAGAATTTGCTGCAAAATCGTAGGAGTGGGGGAGTTGTGTGGGGTGGGGGCTAGGATGACGGGGTTGGTGGTTCTTAGGGACAGGTGATGGGCGCATGGCATCTCGTGATGTGCTGGCTACTGTGGTGATGGTTCAAAATTCTTCATAGTAATAAAGTTTAGAAGGAAAGGTCTGTTAGGTTTTCACTTAACAAGTTCTTATTTTACTCCGGGTTTTGAAATGGCAGCAGGCATGGAGCAAGAGGGCCAGGAGGGATTCTTGTTCTGTGAATGTTTGTTTTCCTGTTTTATCTGTCATTTTTATTGCTGTGTTTCCTCTGGTAATTTATTTTATTTACTTACTAGCTTTTAATTTTGTGAAGAGGTAGCACATATAACATGGCTAATGAAAAAACCTGTAGCCAAGCGCTGTCCAGTAGAAACATAATGGGAGCCCCATGCGTCACATTTCTAGTAGGCACATTAAAAAGAGGAAAAAGAAACATAAATTGATTTTAATATTATATTTTGTTTAACCCATTGGGCCATTGTATAAAATATTATAATTTCAATGTGCAGTTAATATTAAAAATTATTGGAATATATGACATACCTCTTCTCCCCTCATATTAAGCCTTTGAAATCTTGCATGTGTTTTATAGTCACAGACATCTATCTCCATTTAGATTAACCACGTTTTACATGCTCACGAGCCACCTGGTCTTATTGGCCAGGACAGCTCTGGACAGTACACAAGGGACACAAGACAACACTCTGTTCTGACCCTTGACTTGTCCACTCCCAGAGGCACCCACTGTGACCTATTTCTTTTATATCCTTCTGAGATCCTCCAAGCTTATACAGCATAGGCAGGTGGAATATTATTTATCTCCCCCTTCTTACATAAGTGGAAACATTTCACATGTGCCCTTTTACACTTTGCCTTTTCACTTAACGTATCTTATTCTGGATGTTCTGATGATACCCTATTATGCTTTGTAGGGGAAGCTTGCCGGGTAAACCTACCCCAAGTATCAGGCCCAGAAACCTATACTTGCAAATACATTTGACCTTGGGTACAATGATCCCATAAGGGACATGGGCCCTTCCTTAGGTGTCACACAGGTGTCACATCTTTGAAGCTACAGCCTGTGTCCCAAGCCTGAAGGACTGAAGGACAGGTATGTGTGAGGGCTGCGGCAGGGCCCAGCCCACCCTGACCTTCGGGCTCCTGCAAAGAGCGGGTCTGACTGGCTGACGTCTAGCTCCGGGGGGAGCACTGCTGCCCCCTGGCTGCCGCCCCAGCACAGGCCTCGCGGGGCCTGCCTGTGAGGCCTGGTGGTTTTGTGGCTTGGAGGCTCTTCTCAGCAGCATGGTCTGCTTCAGAGAGCTGAGGTGGGGGTGCAGCACGCGGGCCTTGTCGGACCTTGTCCCTAGTGACATCCGCGATTGAGGACTCCCAGACAGCCCGCCTCAGCCTGGGGCTGGTGGACCTGGGAGCCTCCCCTTGGTGAGCCTCCCCTTGATGAGCCTCCCCTTCGTGAGCCTCCCCTTGGTGAGCCTCCCCTTGGTGGTCGCTCCTCCCCTCTGCCCTCCGGTTGGTCTCGGCTCACAGGCTGGGCCCTGGCCTGGAGGCGCGCTGGGAATGCAGGCTGTGCTTGGCCGCCTGGCCTGCGGGGCAAGGCCTTTGGCTTTTGTGCTGCACAGTCTGAGTCAGGCCCCTCCCTCTTGTTTCAGTCAATTCTTCACGAACAATCCTGGACGCGAATGAAGAATTTAAGTCCATGTCCGGGACCATCCAGCTGGGCCGGAAGCTCATCACCAAATACAACCGCCGGGAGCTGACGGACAAGCTTCTCATCTTCCTTGCTCTGGCCCTGTTTCTTGCTACAGTCCTCTATATTGTGAAAAAGCGGCTCTTTCCTTTTTTGTGAGACCCCAGAGCTGCCAGCTTGGCTCTTCCAGCTCCTGTGTCAGGGTCCGTCCAGCTCCCGTGCCGGCCAGCCCCAGCCGCGCTCGCGCCCGTGGCTCAGCAGGTCAGGCGGGAGGGCAGCGGCCCGGTTTCTGCAAGGGGCTTGTGAAGGGCGGGCCGAGCAACGCGCAGGCCTGTCACTGGGACGCCGTCAGGACACAGGAGCCCCTCGTGCACTGTGGGTGCTGCCGCGTGGAGCACTCAGAGCCCAGCAGCCAGGATGGGATCTTCCTCTCTCCCTGTCCCTCTGAGCCCTTCAGTGCCAGATCTGGTGGAGGGAAGAAAGAAGAGTTGGGAAGAAGGATGACGAAAACTCATGGCCATTGATTGGCCATGAGTTTGAATAAACTTGATTGTATTTAACAGAATAAAATGCATTTGGTTTTATAAGGTATCCGTCTGGGACTGTTTGTGCCTCTTCTCTTGATGTCCAGATTTGTAGGACATTAACTTGGTTATTTAGTTATTTACTCAACAAAGAATTATTAAGCAGCTGCCTCACAGAGTGTTACAGACACTGCTGAGCATTACAAGTACACTGGCAAAACCAGACTGGCTCCTTCCTCAGGGAGCAACAGAAACAAGATCTCGCGGACTGTTAGGAAGGAGAGTGCAGCCGCTTTGGGAGTGTGCACACCAGCACCTGAAGAGGCTGCGCGGGATGCCTTGCTCCTCTACACGGCAGTCTGGCCAGGTCCAGGCGTGTCGTGACTCGGGCTGGCTAAGCCTTCTCTCTGAGGTCCAGAGCCGAGTATAACCAAGGAAGGAGAAGCTAGTGAGAAGCTAAGGCCCATGTGGGCCTGAGTTCTATTGATGACAGAGGACTAGGACCCAGCTAGGCCGGCCCTGGAAGTGTTAGTGTCTTCTGGCCTAAGGCCTGGCTGCCCTGGAGCTTGAAACCCCACCTCCCCCACTATTTATAACCCCTGAGGACCTGGGAGGGACCCTGTGGAGGCAGAAGGGAAAGTAAAAAGAATGTGGACTTTGAACCTTGGCTCAAACACTTGGTTTTGAGTCTTGGCTCTGCTGTGAATGGAGCACATGACCACGGGCAAGTAACCTTATGTTGCTAAGCCTCAGTTTCCTCATCTGTAAAGTGGAGGTGATAGTTCATAGAGACCCTTGTAGAGTCAACTTGAATCAAAAGAGATTATAAAGTAGCAAGTGTAGTTCCTTATGATGGCCTTCCCAAATGCTGCCACCCCCAGGGCTCTGGGCCCTGAGGTTTCCTGCAACAAACAGCCAGAGGGCCTCAGGAAAAGTTGGCCAGGCATGGCAGCTCTGTATAGACCTGCCTGAGCAGAGGCTGTCAAGAGTGACTCAATTTCGAAGTGACAGATCATCATGGGACCAAGTATAACAGACTGCACCCCTCAGACTAGCCTGCTGAGTAATCCAAATTAAAGTGTGCACACACACACACACAGTTTCTAGTTTCTAGCTATATATCATCCTTAAACAATTCTTGGCTCCAGAAAGACACTCAAGTGCAATTTGTGCGCACATGTGTCTTATTTATAGTCAAATTAAAGCTGAGACTAAGGCACAGATGGGAAATTCCCACTCAGATTCCAGCTGTACGTGCAGCAGATGGATGTTGTCACGTGAGGATTTTCATGTCTTAACATTTTTCTTTACTACTTCCCGCTAATTGTCAACATCCTCCTCGAAATAGGGAAACTCAGGGGCTCTGTACTCCCTAAAAATGCTTTGACACTTTAGTCCTCTTTTACTTGCCTTCTGCTTAAAATAGGGTCAAATCTGACCCATTTTGAAATGTCTTTGATAACACAGTGCCTTGCAACCCCCACCAGCCCCGGGGCTGTCCTCGCAGCCGGGCTGTGCAGAGAGCAGCCCCCTCGCTCAGCCGTGAGGGGGCAGTGTCCGCACTCGCTCTGCAGTCTGGCTTGGGTGTGGTTAATTCCACCAGTCCATTGGAAATGCTCACGTGAATATATTTTTTAAAAGATAGCAAATTTTAAAAAAACATAAATGTATGAGGCTTACCTATATTTTGTTTTTGAAATATGTTTCAGAAGTGGCTTTAATTTTCACTCTTAATAAGTCAGGCTCATGTGCTACATTTTCATTAGCTGACAGTCAAGGAATTAAAATTATAGAGCAGCCATCAAGAACTCTTTCATTCAAGAAATATTTACTCCTAGGGCCAGGCGTGGTAGCTCACGCCTGTAATTCTAGCACTCTGGGAGGCGGGAGGAACTTGAGCTCAGGAGTTAGAGACCAGCCTCAGCAAGAGCAAGACCCTGTCTCTACTATAAATAGAAAGAAATTAGCCAAACAAAAATAGAAAAAATTAGCCAGGCATGGTGGTGCATGCCTGTAGTCCCAGCTACTCGGGAGGCTGACGCAAGAGGATCGCTTGAACCCAGGAGTTTGAGGTTGCCGTGAGCTGCGCTGACGCCACAGGACTCTAGCCCAGGCAAGAGAATGAGACTGTCTCAAAAAAAAAAAAGAAAGAAAGAAAGAAATATTTACTCCTAACACTTAGGGAAGTCAAAGTGGGAGGATCTCTTGAGGCCAGGAGTTCGAGACCAACCTGAACAACATGACAAAACCCTGTCTCTACCAAAAAAAAAAAAAATTAATCACTGAACACCAACTCTGTGCCAGGCATTTGTGTTAGACACAGTGAACAAAACAAAGATTCCCTGGCGCCACGGAGCATACGGTATTTGGGGGAGGGTGGGCAGATGATAAACAATCAACGTACTAAATAAGTCGTTCATGATGTTAGAACATCAGTGTTCGGGGAGAGTGGAGATGAGTGGAGGTGTGGGTGTAGGAGCCGGGAGTCTGCAGTCTTAAGCAGAGTGGCCAGGCTGGTCCCAGGGGGAGGCTGGAGCAGGGGCGGGCGCAGGGCGGAGGTCCAGGCGGAGGCAGACTGGCATATTCAAGGAATGCAAGGAAGCCAGGGTGGCAGGGGCAGGTCCCAGTTACCTCAGGCTGTGGAGGACGTCTTCACTCCCGCTTACCTCGCCTGGCAGCAGCCGTTGGCCCTGCTGGACACTGATTCTTCCAGAAACCTGCCTGGCTTTGTGGCACCACACTCTCTTGGTTTCCCTCTCCTCTGGCAACTCCCCGCCTTCTTGGCTCGCGGGCTCTGCAGCCATAATGGGCGCAGCTCCTGCTCCCTCTGCATGTTCCCTCGAGCCGCCGAGGTCGCCCGTCCTGCAGCTTCGGCGTGTCTGTGGGGCAGACTTCTCCGTGAGCTCCGGACCCTCGCCGTCCCCACGCCCTGTCTCTGAGGCTCCCCAGCCTCCAGGGTCCTGTCCACTCCCGCCCGCCCCCAGCCCGGCCCTTCCCCAGGCTTCCCCGGCCTCCTGAGCACACTCCGCATTTCCTGCCTCCTGGGTCCCCTCTCCCTTCTCCAAGCCCATGACCTTGAAACCTCCTTCCCACCAAACCAGGAGATGAGACTTCACTTCATTTCAACAGATTCATGCCAACACTGTCCCCAAAGGGGTCGGTACATTGTCGGTGCATTCAGATGGCCCCAAATGCCCCTTGGGAGGCAGCATCGCAGGGCGACTCGATTTGGAGATGCTTCTAAGGAGAAAAGAGGCTATATTATGAAAAAGACAGTAAAATAAGTTCTGCGTTTTTCCTTGGCTAATGGTGGTCTCCCGGGGGGCCCTGCCAGAGGGTGTGCCCAAGCTGGGTTTCTTCCCTAGGCGAGGGTGGGATAAAAATAGCTGTGGCTAATCTAAGAGATAGTAGACAGGAGTCTCTGCAGTGTTGTCAGGAATGAAGGGCTCAGCCTGGGGGTGAGGGGTGAGTGTTATCACCCCCTTGTCCCTCCAGTCCCCAACAGCAGGCCCAGCCAACACACGGGGAGCCCCAGGGTCACGGTATTGGTCAACTTGCATCTTTTCTTTCTTTCATTCTTTTTTTTTTTTTTTTGAGAGTCTTGCTCTGTTGCCCCAGGTAGAGTACAGTGGTGTCATCATAGCTCACTGCAACCTCCAACTCCTGTGTTCAAGCCATCCTCCTGCTTCAGCCTCCTGAGGAGCTGGGACTTCAGGTACCCACCAAGATGCCTGGGTAATTTTTCTATTTTTAGCAGAGATGGGGTCTTGCTTTTGCTCAGGCTGGTCTCGAACTCCTGACCTTGAGCAATCCTCCCACCTCAGCCTCCCAGAGTGCTAGGATTACAGGCTTGAGCCACTGTGCCTGGCCTTCAACTTGCATCTGGAATGGGCCAAAGTGCCATGGGCAAAGCCTTTGGTGGCAGAGAAGCCAGGGTTCCCACTGTACTCTCCCTGGCCTTATGCCCTAGGCAAGGGATGGCCTCCTCTGTTGTCCCCTCTGTTGTCATGTGCAACTCGGGGACAGCCTGGCAGTCCCGACCTCTTAGCAGTGCTAGGAGGATCGAAGGACAAAACATACACCAAGAGCTCACACAGCGCCCCTCCCACACTGACCCCCACAGGCTGCCACATTCTTTCTAGAACAAAAGGGAAATGGCCTCATTCCCCTTTCTCTTTGGGTCTGAACTTTACAAAAACAGCACTTAGATAAAGAAGGGGACTGGGGTTGGCAGGAGTCAGGACTCCAGGATGGGGCAGAGTTTCTCAAGTAGCAAAGGGCTGAGAGCGGGCCACGCAAGTTGGCCATCTTTCCCAATAACCCATGGAAAAAAGAAAGTTAATGGGTAAAGTTAGCTCAATGTGAAATTTTCTCCTTTTATATTGTTCTTAAATCTCTGCTCTCCCCCTTTCCCCTGCAAACTTGTTTGCTGGCCAAGAGAGCTCTTAGACACAAGAAACCCATGGAGTAGCAAATGAATATGGACTGAAAACTTGCAAACGGCTAATCAGCTTTAATCTGATAGCTTTACTGGTATGAAATATAAGAGTGCTCCTGACAAATTTTATAATTCCTAGGAAAGGTGTTCTTGGTTTGCACAAAACAGCTCTTCCATGACGTCCCTCCTCTACCTGAACAGGGTGCAGGACCAAGGGTTAGAGGACCGAGAGGGCAGGCGTTGTCAGGCGCTGCAGGTTCCTGGCGTCCTTCCTGACTGCCACCCACACAACCCCAAGTCTCACCGAGACGCTCGGCTGGGGCTGGGACAGGAGGGCGAGATCCCGCCTGCCTTGCAGGACCAGCAGCTCCTGGGGACTGACCCGAAGCCACACGGATACAGTAGAGGGTGGGAGGTGCCTTAGAGGAGGCCCCAGGGACCCTGGGGAGCCCAAAGTGACAACTCTTTTGCACAGCTTAGAAACAGATGATACTGAAAATAGAATTAATGATAAGCAATGATGAATGAGATCCAATAGCAAAATCTGGTCGTGTGTTTAAGTATGTGATGATGACATTAATAAATTTACTGAGTGCTTATTATGTGCCAGAGACTGTGCACTGTTTCACTTAATCCAGGAATTCCATGAGGTGGGTAGTGTTATTACAGCTGCGGCAGCTGAGACCCAGAGAGGTCAAGACACTTACCCAAGGTCACACAGCTAGTTACTGGTGGATCTGGGCTTTGAAGCCAGGCAGTTGAGCTGCAGAGTGCCTGGGGTTCTCTCAGCAGCAAGAAGAGTGAGGCCCCCGAAGCTCTAGGGTCAGAGGGACCGGCCTCTCCGCCTTAAAGCGGACGCCCCAGCAAGCGTATGGCAGTAAACGGAGGGCCTGGGGCGCCCCGTGCGAGGGGCCTGCCGGCCGGCGGGATGGCGGGTCAGGACGGGGCTGTCCCAGAAGCGGGGGGATTCCGGCCGCGCCGCCGTGGGCAGGCCAGGAGCAGCGGGCCTCGGGCACGCTTGGCCACGGCCGGCCGTCTGCGGGGTGCTGGGGCTGCGTCCCCGCTCCCAGGGGCAGGTCTCCCCTCCGTGCGACAGCCCGGGCTCACGTGCGCTCGCTCGGACCGAGGAAAGCAGAGCACGCTCCTGAGAGTTCCCGAAAGTCCCCAGGGCCACCTCTGGAGGGTCCCCGGGCGGGAGGCCGGGCGTCCCGATGGGTCAGGCCCGGTCACGTGCCCGGCACTCTTCCACCAACCACAGGACGAGGGCGGGGGGGGGAGGAGGGAAGAGGGAGGAGGGAGGAGGAGGAGGGACGAGGGAGGAGGGCCGAAGCCGGGAGCAGGAGGAGGGAGGAGGAGGAGGGAGGAGGAGGAGGGAGGAGGAGGAGGGAGGAGGAGGGACCAGGGACGAGGGCCGAAGCCTGGAGCAGGAGGAGGGAGGAGGAGGAGGGAGGAGGGATGAGGGACGAGGGCCGAGGGATGAGGGATGAGGGATGAGGGACGAGGGAGGCCTTGCCGCGTGCGCGCGGACCGGGCTGGTGACCCGCAGGTGCAGCCGGCTTCTGGCGGCCCGCGCAGTCACCGCTCTGCTTGGGTTTCAGCCCAATCTGTGAGGCCTTGGGGATGCTTCGTTTGTATCAGGGAGCCTACTGCTGTCATTATGGTGGATTTTCTTTTCTTTTTTCTTTTTACTGCGCAGTTGCTTTCGTGATAAGAAAAAAAATTAAGGCATTTAATTAATTACAGAAAAATTAGGAAATATGTTTGACCAAAACAAACTCTTCCCCCAAAATATAAACGAAGAAGCCACAATCTCATCTAGAGAAAATTGTCAACAGTTGGGGGTGGATTATTATATCTTTTTCTCCTTTCTTCCTTGTAACCCACCTTCTTCAATAAAAGTGGGATTGTACTGTACATATTAGGGGTGTGTGTGTGTGTGTGTGTGTGTGTGTGCAGTCAGTCTCTCTCTGTCGCCCTGGCTAGAGTGCTGTGGTGTCATCATAGCTCACCGCAGCCTCAAAACCCTGGGCTCAAGCAATCCTCCTGCCTCGGCTTCCTGAGTAGCTGGGACTACAGGCACGCACCCCCATGCCCGGCTAATTTTTCTGTTTTTAGTAGAGACAGGTCTCACTCTTACCCAAGTTGGTCTTGAACTCCTGACCTCAAGCAGTCCTCCCACCTCAGCCTTCCAGAGTGCTAGGATTACAGGCGTGAGCCACCGTGCCCAGCCTCTTTTTTTGCTTTTAAGAATACATTTACTGAGATTCAATTTTTGTGTAATAAACTTTACATAATTAAACTGTACAATTTGATGAGTTTTGACGTATGTGAACCACAATCAAGAGAATGAGCCTATCCACTACTCCCCAAAGTGTTCTTGGCACCTTTGGAACCAGTTTGCCCCCACGGTCCCCCACCAGCTCCCACAGGCTCTGGGAGCCCCCAGACCTGCTCCCTATCACTACAGGCTAGTTGACTTTTTTATCATGTCATGTACGCCGATCATACAGTACATACCAGCTTTGGGGTGTGGCTTCTTTCAGTGTGATTATTTGAGGTTCATTTATGTTGTTGAGTTTATCAATAATTCATTCCTTTTTCTTGCTGAGTGGCATTTCATTACATGACTATATCAGTTTCTTTATTCACCTGTTGATGGACATTTGTGTTATGTCTAGTTTTTGCTACTACAAGTAAAACTCATAGGAACATTCATGAACAAGTCTTTGGACCTATGTTTTTGTTTTTATTGAGTAAAATATCTAGAAGTGTATTGGTTAGGTCATATGATAAGTGTATGTTTAACTTTTTAAGAAACTCCCAATTAGCTGGGTGTCACTGCGCATGCCTGTAGCCTCAGCTACTCAGGAGGCTGAGGCAGGAGGATCGCTTGAGCCCAGGAGTTGGAGGCAGCAGTGAGCTATGATGATGCACTGCACTCTACCCAGGCTGACACAGTGAGACTGAGGAAAGAAAGAAAGAGAGAAAAAGAGAGAGAGAGAGAGAGAGAGAAAGAAAGAAAGAAATTGACTCCCTTTCTCACTCCCTGACACCCTTTCACACACAAAAAAAACCCAAAAACAAACAAAAACAAAAAACCACAACTCACGAACTGTTTTCAAAAGTGTCACATCATTCACAGTCCCACCAGCAGAGTGAGACAGTTCCAGTTACTGTACATCCTTACGGACTGGTATGGTTAGCCTTTTAAATTTTAGCCATTCTGGTGGATATGTAGTGGTATTTATTGTGGTTTTGATTTGCATTTCCTAACTACTAATGATGTTACGTGCTTATTTGCATCCACACGTCTTCTTTGGTGAAGTGTCTTGCTATGGTCTGAGTGTTGTGCCCTACCCAGATTCATATGTTGAAACCCTACCAAAATGATGGTATTAGTAGGTGGCCTTTGGGAGGTGATTAGGCCATGGTAGTGGAGCCATCGTGAATGGGATTAGAGCCCTTAAAAAGAGACCCGAGAGAACGGAGTAGCCAATGGCCTGGAGAGAACATGCCCAAGTTTTATTGTGACTACTGCGATACGTACCTCACCCATGATTCTCCATCTGTGAGAAAGACACACTGCAGTGGTAGGAAACACAAAGAAAATGTGAAAGACTACTACCAGAAATGGATGGAAGAGCAGGCCCAGAGCCTGATTGACAAAACAACGGCTGCATTTCAACAAGGAAAAATACCTCCTACTCCGTTCTCTGCTCCTCCTCCTGCAGGGGCGATGATTCCACCTCCCCCCAGTCTTCCCGGTCCTCCTCGCCCTGGCATGATGCCAGCACCCCATATGGGGGCCCTCCCATGATGCCAGTGATGGGCCCTCCTCCTCCTGGGATGATGCCAGTGGGACCTGCTCCTGGAATGAGGCCACCCATGGGAGGTCACATGCCAATGATGCCTGGGCCCCCAATGATGAGACCTCCCGCCCGTCCCATGATGGTGCCCACTCGGCCAGGAATGACTCGACCAGACAGATAAGGATAGAGGGAGGTCTCTTTATGTCAGTTTTATATTACTTGTTCTGCTTCACCAGGAGATCATGGTGCTGTGACTCTGGGTGTTTTCTTTACATAAGGAAAATTTGCTCCCCCTTGCTATCAAAGAGAGAATAGTTTTGAAGGGAAGAAGTAGAACCAAAAAAAGGGCAGTCTTCATTTGTATTGTGAAATGTGAAAATAAAATTGTCAACTCTTTCAGTTAAAAAAAAAAAAAAAGAGGCCCGAGAGAGACTCATCACCCCTTCCACCACGTGAGGACACAAGGAGAAGGCGCCGTCCGTGAACTAGGAGGGGCCCTCCCCAGACACCAAACCTGTCAGTGCCTTGACCTTGACCATCCTGGCCTCCAGAACTGTGAGAAATAAATTTCTGTTGTTTATAAGCTACTCAGTTTATGGCATTTTGTTGTAGCAGCCTGAAGAATGGGCTAAGATGTGTCTTTTCAAATATTTTGCCCATGGGGGGGGGATTGGTTTCTTATTGTTGATTTGATCGTTGAGTATCAGTTGGGCATAATCTCTATTTTCAGTCAAAAGCTTCATAGTTAGTACACAGCCACTGCCATCAGCTTCCTATAGCTCCTTCCAAAATGTTCTTATATATTCACAAACGCGGGTTTAGCATTCAGCTGGGATGCAGCAGCATAGTTTATCTGCCGGCATCTTTGTAAACGGCGATGCCCTTCCCTACCCAATGTTAAATATTTGCCGCTATATTCAAGTATGCATGTGCGAGTTTATATGGATGTATAAATATATTTACACGTATAAGTAGATAAAATCATACGAATGGAAGAATCCTGCGAATACAGTTTTGCATTGTTATCAATGTGTCTTGGTGAACCAAATCTTCCATTTCCCCCCAGGGCGGCCTCATTCTTTCAAATGCCTGCGTACCGTTCCACTGTGCGGACACACGGTAAATGACTTGCTCTGTTCTCTACTGATGGATATTTAGGTGTTTTCTAGTACCTTCTTTCTCTTTATTTTAGAGACGGGGTCTCACTCACTCTGTCACACAGGCTGGAGTACAGTGGCCCGATCGTAGTTCACTGCAACCTCCAACTCCTGGCCTCAAGCAATCCTCCTGCCTCAGCCTCCTGAGTAGCTGGGACTACAGGTATGCACCACCATGCCCGGCTAATTTTTCCATGTTTAGTAGAGATGGGGTCTCACTTTTGCTCAAGCTGGTCTCAAACTCTTGAGCTCAAGCGATCCTCCCATCTCAGACTCCCAGAGTGCTAGGATAACAGGCTGAGCCACTGCGCCCGGCCCCACCCTGAAGACTTGAGACGTGAGAGCCACTCCACAGCCTTGCCCCTAGACTCCTGCACAGCCTCCGTGTCTTTGCTGGTGCCTTCATCAGAGTGAATAGTGCATTTGGGTAAAGATTTTTGCAAGCCGTCACAGCCATTGTTCAGCTAGAGAGTGACATCTGTCACCCTCATTCTCCTCTAGGTGAGGATAAACTGATATCACTTCTAAGAAGGACACTTTGGCAAGAACTACTGAGATATACAGTGTGCATTCTTTTCACCAATTCCACTTCCAGGCGTCTGTCCAAAGAAATGTCTGCACCTGCGCCAGGAGAGGCACGTGCGATGGTATACTGGCACAAAGTTGGACACGGCTTAGATGTCCGTTAATTGGGGACACTGGGGAGTCCTTCAACACTTGTGGAGACATCCCTAGTGTAGGGATGGCAGAGGGGACGGCAGGAGGGGCTGTCTGTGCAGCGGGGGTAAGCCCTGCGGGGCACATGGCAACGTGAACACAGGACCAGATTTCAAGAATGAAGCAATTTATGTAAAGTCGTACACATTTGAAACGAAGCTGCACGTTTCCATATGGGTGCATGTGCACACGTGTGTAAGTGTGTCAGGTGGGCTGCAGGACGTGAAGCCACTTGACGTCAGTGGTGCTCTCTGGGGAGGTGGGCTGGAGGGGTGATGTGTCACAGCGATCATGGATACACGCACTATTTTGTTCAAATAAGCTAACAAATAGGCAAATACAAAAATAAAGCAAACCAGATAGGGGCAAGTGCCTCCCTCACAGGCTGTGGGGAGGGTCGAGAGAGGACGCTGTGGTCCCCCCCAGCGGGCCCTCAGCTAGCTGGTCCCTAACACCACCCTGCGGGCCTGGGGTGGGGGTGGGGAGGTGTCCACACCTGCAGGGCCCAGCCAGGGCCTGCGGGGATGGGGTCTCTTGCGGAGAGTGTGGGGGCAGAGAAAGGCTCTGCAGCTACCTCTGGGGCAGAGAGAAGGGGCTGGAAGGCAGGGACTAACCCGAGAGGGAGCCGGGCAGGCGGCCCAGCAGGCAAGCGGGAGGAGGGAAGCTCCGTGGCTCAAGGGTCAGGAGAGGCCCAGGAGGCCGAGGGCAGCGGAGAGGGCTGACAGCAGTCAGACGGGTGCCCGGCTGACGCCCACGGCAGTCTCGGTGGGTGGGAGGCGGGCGGGCGGCGAGGGGAGGCGCGTCCGTGGCCTAATCCGTGGGCAGCTCCAGAGCCGGGCCGGCGGGAGACCTGCGCCTCACAGAGCACGGAAGGGGTGTGCGGGCAGGGCGGCCATTCCTACAAAAACCCAGAATTATGAAAGTTCCAGCAATTCCTCTTGGGATGCACCCCGACGGACTGGAAGCAGAGACTAGACCAGGCGCGCACTTGCACTCCGTGCTCGCAGCGGCAGCGTCCACGGCGGCCCAGCGGAAGCGGCCGTGTGTGCGCCCCACACGGTGGAATAGTATTCAGCCTTAAAAAGGAAGAAAACTGTGACCCTACACGCTACAACATAGTGAACCTTGGAAACACTGTGCCAGGTGAACTAGGCCAGCTACGAAAGGACAAACACTGCATAGTCCCACCTATGTGAGGTGTCTGGAGCAGTGTGAGTTGTGGTCCCCAGTCTTTCCGGCGCCAGGGACTGGCTTCACAGGAGACAATTTTTCCATGGATATGGGGGCGACGGCGGAGCTCAGGGGGGAGGCGGGCGATGGGAGCGGCTGTAGATACAGATGAAGCCTCGCTGGCTCACCGCCGCTCACGCCTGCTGTGCGGCCCCCACCCCCACCCGTTCCTAAGCGTCATAGTTTCATGGAAGACTAATTTTCCATGGACGGGGTCAGGGCTGGGGACCACAGGTCTAAGTCATAGCAACAGAAAGTACAATAGGGGTTACCCGGGGCTGGGGCAGGGGAGAATGGGGCGTCAGCATTTAATGGATACAGAGTTTCAGTTTTGCAAGTATGAAGAATTCTGTATGGTGGGCACAGTGGGTCATGCCTGTAATCCCAGCACTTTGGGAGGCTGAAGTGGGAGGATCGCTTGAGGCCAAGAGTTTGAGACCGACCCGGGCTTACCCCGTCTCTAAAAAAATAAATAAATAATTAGCCGGGCATGGTAGCACACACCTGTGGTCTCAGCTACTCGGGAGGCTGAGACAGGAGGATCGCTTGAGCCCAGGAGTTGAGGCTGCTGTGAGCTGTGATCGCACCACTGACTCTATCTCAAAAAATAAATGAATGAATAAATAAATAAAAGAGTTCTGTGGACGGTGGTGGGGATGGCTTCGCGGCAATGCGAGTGCACTGGACTACTGGGCTGCACACTTTAAAATGGTGAAGATGCCCAACTTTGCAGCTGCAATTGGTTCTGGTTTCCAGTTTGTTCTCACATTCTCAGAACCGGCCCCGAGATGTTCCTCACAGGCACCGGCACCAGCCAGGCAGTGCCCCTCCCCAGGCGCCACCCACGGGGTCCTCGTGACCCGGCTCCTCGCCTCTGTTCACCGGCGGCAGCTGCCCCCTGCGCTTGCCCTCTCTGTGTCTCCCTCTCTGTGTCCCCTTCTCTGTGTCGCCCTCTCTGTGTCTCCCTCTCTGTGTCCCCTTCTCTGTGTCGCCCTCTCTGTGTCGCCCTCTCTGTGTCGCCCTCTCTGTGTTGCCCTCTCTGCGTCGCCTCACTCAGCATTCACTTCGGCTTGCCTTTTGGCCTCCCAATCGCGCTTTGACGCATTCTCTGTACTAAAGTCTGTCTACTGGGGGCAGTAAATAAATACTATGTTATGTAGTTTTGCTGCAATACAGTTTTTTCGGTGGGAGAGAATTTCTGGAGACCTCCTAGAGGGCTCTCAGGTTAAAGGGAGAGTGGCGGAGCCCGGACAGCGCTGGGCCGGGTCCCACCTCAGGGACTCTGCCCGCCCTCCTGCCGTCTCCGCGTCTCGTCTCCGCTTCTCGTCTCGAGAGCAGCTTCGACTTCTCAGCCTCCGCAGGGCCGGGTGCGTGGCCGTGGGGCGCTCTGGGACTTAGGAGGACAGAGGGAGTCAGCTCTCAGACCTAGTAAGAAAGACCCCGGGGAAGGGCACGGGGCGAAGCTGGAACCCTCACAGTGGCATCTGAGCCTCGCTCGTCCCCCATACCTTCCCCTCCAGGGGGATGACCACTCTGTTCCCCAAAGGAACTTTTCTTTAGCCTTCCCGTTTGCTGCTGTCCCGATTTGACCTTGGCTGACGATTGCAACAAGCTTCTGAGTGTTCTCCCCATCCCAGGCTGGAGGGACGGGTGGATTTAGGGGGAAGAAACCTAAGACACGGCAAGCACGCGCGGGCCAGGGGGAGCAAGGACAAGAAGGACGGGCTGGCAGGTCACGGAGGGGAGTGACTCCTCACCCATTGGAGGGGTCACCACAGGAAGGAGCTTCAAGTTCGGCTCTAAGGGCAGTCAGAGGGGGCATCTGCTGACCTGGCTTCCCTCTCATGGGGATAGCAGGTCTTCTGCCGAGGGCAGAGGGTCCAAGGTGCAGCTCAGTGCTGCGAAGACACACAACCGGGACTGAGGAGGCGGTGGGTCGGATGGCTGGGTACTGTCAGTGCCGCTGGGGTTCTTGGGAACCTTCCTGCAGTAAAACACCATGTGTTCCTTTTAAATGATGTTTGCAAATTTTTTGACATTCCTCCATCCAAAAGTGGAGTCTAAGTACTCTCCCCTTGAATATGGATCGACGTTAGTGACTTGCTCTCAATAATAGGCTGGTGGCGGTGACACTGTGTGGTATCCGAGACCAGGGGATAAGGCAACTCCACCGGGCTCTCTCTCGGGACACTTGCTCTTGGGACCCAGCCAGCATGCTGTGAGGAAGCCCGGGCCGCACAGGGAGGCCAGTTGCCTGTGTTCTAGCCCAGCTGAGGTCCAGTATCAAACGGCAGGCACGTGAGTAGGAAGTCT